GTTAAACATATCAAGATGCCCACATTCATACACTCACGGGATGATTTCTTGTTGGTCAAAGGGAACACCTTTCCCTCTAGAAGCTTCAAGGAAGCCATTAGTATGTCTGGACACTTGGGTGTCCCAGTATTCCCTAAGGTCACAGAAGACCCAGACACTATCGTTACATTCCTGGGCACACAACTTGACTCGGCATCCATGCCAACAAGTTACCATGTGAGAAATAGGAACGGTCGCAACAACACCAAATTACCACCTCCTGCTTGGTACTTGCAACCGCATGGAACTACAATCCCTACCAGGTTCCTTAAAGGGACACCGTAGGCACTGTATCTGCTTCATCTCATTAAACTGGTTATAGTGTCTGGAGTCTTCTGGTCCCATCTTTTCTATCAGCATTAAACAGTTTTTAAAATTTTAATGTTTTAATGCTAAACAAGAGTCCCCGGCAATCCATCCCCTCTGTGCTGCTTTGGCTAATAAGGAAGTATTAGCCTGAACAGAAATGGGCAGCTGTGATTGGCTGAGAGTGTCAGCTGACTGCTTTTAGCCTGTCAGAGTTCCAACTGACGGTATGAGTGGGTATTACAACAAGGAAGTGTGTAATCTCTGCCTTAGCTACACATACTGAAGGGGCCGGACTGTGGGTGGCCAGGGACTCTTATTTTGTGGCCTACTGCACGAACATGGTGCAACACTGAATGGAGGGACAGTGCCAGGGTACTCCAGGCACTACAACCAATTCAAAGAGATGAAATGCTTATAGTGACTACAGTGTCCCTTTAAATTTTGCCATGCACATCATACCACAAGCCGCTCTTTCATCTAAGACCACTTTGCTTTTTCCACACTCCCGCATGATGATCAGGGGCTGTCCCTAGACAACCAAGCCACGGCAGACCTACACATATGGTGGACTTTCTTAACCACACGTAATGGTAAATTATTGTGGCAGCTGCCGTGACAGCCGCCATGGCAGGGGGGTCATTTATGGTCAAGGTCATGGATTACATGAACCTCGCCAACATAGTCGGGCTCTGACAAAACTGGCCTTGTCCACCAGAACTCAACACGCTTGCCACAGGGTTTTCCACTTATACAATACGTTTCATGTCGGACCATCACTTAGCTGGTTTGAGGTTTCACCACTTTTGGCCTTCGCCTCTTTTTGCCACCTTAAATTAAAAATTCTCGCACAACACAGTTAAACTTAAGTCACGGGCATTCAACACTATAAGTATTTCTCCTTCCCAAACAAAAAGGTGTAACCGCAGGTGGTTCCCTTATTTACCACTATAATGTCTTAAAGCATAGAACTTGGTAGGGCTAACCCTACAGATATCTTAGCCATAATTTGATATAATTAGTAAGAGATCCTCTATTTAACATATATAAATAATTGAGAATACAATATAAAATAAGGATTACCTTGGAAGCAATAGTTTTGTCTTTTTAGATATTTATTATATAAAAATATAAATAGACATATAAAATCCATTATAGCAGAGTTTATAAGATTTAAACTAAATGCTTGCAAATATCATTAATAGGTCATCATGTCAGCCTCTCTGTCATTTTAAGATGGAGCAGCGTCTGTCTCCAAGTCTCTCCTCTGTTTCTTAACATTCAAAAGTACACCTATTTATACCTTAAGTGTCTCCATTTTAGGGTTACCATAGTTGATATATGAAAAAGTAACACTTCTTTTACTTTATTCATTATAGGACCTCCCTTAATTTGGCAAACATGCAAGGCCATAACTAAAGGGTGCATACGTCATGGAAATTTTCCTGACTTAGTTCAAGATGGCATCTTAAAGTCTGAATAGCTTATCTGTTGTTTATACTAAGACGTAAGTGCACAGTCGTGGGAGATTCCCGGATTTGGGGAAGTTCCATTAACTTGGGGTTACCACAGTATATTGTGTACTGAAAGAGTCGTAGTATAGCCTTGAAGCTTGTTTATGCATTATTGTTATTGTAATTCGTCTGGGACAAAATGGCATAAACATATTATGCACTGAGGTTATTGCTTAAAGAAACAGTTATGAAAAGCAATATGTTCCATTTCTAACACCTTGTCAATTTGCAATATCTCTTAAAGACAAAGTACACAGTTTAAGAAATACAACATTTCATTCTAAAAACTTGTAATATTTGCATTTGCCCATAACAAAGGGTTCCTATCCTCCTACCCCATCCATACCTTACTTAGAGACATAGCGAAGCGGACGTTCCCGCTAAAACTAAATACTGGCCATAGACATACAATGTTCAAACCATGTCAGAACTACTCTACCATGCACCTTCCGAGCCACGTACCAATGCAGTTATCAAAACTGCTACCTATCTAGCCTTTAACGGCTTTCTCAGGCCAAAAAATAACTCCCTATCAGTGGCCAACATCATAAACAACAGTGTCTGTTGACCTCTTATCTTCTAAAACACACAGACCACTATGTCCAGTCCCTTCCTAAAACTAAGACGAGTCAGATGGGTGAGCCAGTGCATATAACCTACTAACTTACAAGCAATGCTGGGTGCCCGGTTAAGGTATTGGTTGCGTTCTTGGGCATGCCACCATACGCACCACTGAACCATTACTGTCACTGTATACTGTCCTTAAAACAGGTAAGTTCATGCACTATGTCCATCTACTCATTCACCGGGCTCGAACTAAACCCTAGCGACTACTCAGGGCACTTCTTTAGGATAGGAGCAGCCTCCATGGCCTACAGCCAAGACATCCCCGCACACGTTAAGACACGAGGCCGCTGGGAATCATAGGCTTATGCGACTTACATACCACAGCCGATTCAGGAATTAGGAAGCTTTCATTAAAATGTCTACCTGATGGTTAACAAATGCACTATGATCCTGTATAATGTTTTGCATTAATATGTCTCTTTTTGCCCACTTTTTACCGGCCTACAGCATACGTCGGTTTCGGCACACCTCAACTGATTATTCCTAAAGCTACATCTCTACAACCAATCTTATTCTATATCCTATGAGAATGCCCCTGAATATATGTCTAACAATGGTTACAGACAGCTACTTGTTTCTATTCTGTTGCACTTCCTATCCAGGGACTCCATCACTATGCTACTATTTTCGCTACTATTTGACTCTTTTATGGCAATCAAGCAGTATATTTAGAAAATATATCTAGACTTTATCCTTAGTGATTTTAGTTTCTGTTCTCTACTATTTAGATATTTTCTAGTATATACAGTATCTTTATAGCAAATTTTTTACTAATTCCCCCTTTTTTCTCTTCCCTGTTTAAGGTTTTTACCTTTTTTAATTATTCTTAATAAATGCTATATTTTATATTTGTCATCTTTATTATACCAGTGATACCATTAAGACAGATCACATTCTCTTGTTCTCTTATCCAAAGAAGTGAGAACATTTGCCAAAGGCTCATATTGGAGCCCAAACCTTGTTATCTTCTTTGTTCCAAATAAAGACTGTCTTTAGAAGAAACCATTAGGCGTGCCTGGGTATTTATATTCAAATCCTAATCTGGTGTGAAGAGATTCTAGATAAGGGAACTTGTAGGAGAGAGATCAGAGTACCTTATAACCTGTATATAGTTCCAAAATTCCCCTAATGAAATGATAAGGCTACTCAATGGATTAGGTCAGACAGGAAAATACAGCAATCTGAGATCACATAATACTTTAAGAGATAAAGGCACAAGCTAAATCTTACCTCTACAATACTGGGTTGGATGAACACACCAAGGACTGACAGACTAAGCCAGGTGGCTGATACATAGTATAGTAGTTAAAAAAATTGCAATAAATAGCTTTATTCGGATGCACTCGCAGTATAAAAGACCAAATCAGGCACATCGAAATCTCACTCTGGAACCAGGACCTTGGTAGGGTTCTTTGAGGGATAAATGTGCAGCAACAATTCAAAGTCTTACCATTGATTTATAATTTAACAATTTGAATTGAAAGCACATACAAAATATTGACTGACATACAAAATATTTCCAGATTGCTTATTTTGAGATATGAAATTCACATTGAATTATCACATCAGAAAATAAACCCTTATGAATCCCCTTTAAATTCTAACTTTAGTAAATAAACCCTAATGAATTCCCTTTAACCCCTTAAGGACACATGATGTGTGACATGTCATGATTCCCTTTTATTCCAGAAGTTTGGTCCTTAAGGGGTTAAATTCTGACTTTAGTAAATAAAGCCTAATGAATTTGCTGCAAATTCTCACTTTTGTGAATTTATGTTTCTTGTTCAGTGAGAAAAAAAAATCAGCAAAAGGATTTATTTGTGAAGTGTAGGGTTTCATGTTTCCTACCAGCTGGTCCCTCTTCCTATTGAAAAAGAAAAGGCCCAATTTTAGTGAATGTTTCACACATCTGTCATCATGAAAATAAAACAAACTGAAATCAACTTTTGTTTCCATTTTTTTGTCAGCAGATGCTCAGTAAAATCTTTCTTATTACATTTTCTCACTGTATCATGATCTCCTGGTGTTTAGTAAATAATCCAAAAATGTCTTACTTTTGATAACCCCATTGTACAGCGCTACGAAATCTGATGGCGCTATATAAATAATAAAATAATAATAATAATAATAACTTTAATTACAATCTACTAACTAACAAATCAATGTAACATGTATGTGTAACATTTGTCACATGTAGCCAGATTTTGGATACAATTACAAAGCAGCTACAGTGCAGCATATACTATTTTAAAAATCAAGGTTTTTGGAAAGACACGTCATTACTGGCCAGGTCAGTGCATTGTTTTGTTAAATACTGGAAATACTGGATCCTCAGTCCTTTTCATTTCACCCTCAGTAAAGAATAGCCTGCTGGAAATACTGGATCCAACAAAATGGCGAATGCCGTCGCCGGCGACACTTCCTCCGGAGAGCGTAACCCTTGGAGAGGCACGCGCCGCAGCAGCAGCAATAGCAATAACACAACACAGCAAGAGAAGCCTAAGGGAAGGAAAGGCTGGGCGTGCGTGCACGCGCGCGCCGGCGAATGGTGTCGGGAGCGAGCACGCGCTTGCGTCATTGCGGCCGTTGGAAGCAGTGACGACCAGACAGGGATCCGGACATGGCATACGCGTACCTTTTCAAATACATTATCATCGGGGATACCGGTAAGGAGCCGCTGGTCTTCTCTGTGTGCCGTGCGTCAGGCGCTGTCCGTGCGCGGCCTCTGCGGGCCGGTCCCGGGGGATACGGGGCTGTGGCTGGGCTGCTGAGTCGGTGCGGGCGGGGCCGGCCGGTCCTTCCATTTCCGCAGTGTTGGAGCCGTTGACGTGGTGGCTATGCGCTGCGCCAGGCAGGGGCCGATGGGGCATACACTGCAAGGCCGCAACTCGGTCCTGATGGGCAGAATGAGGCCGTGTGTGCTCACATTGTACAATACAAACGGCATCCCTGCCAGGCTGTACGTACAGCAACAGAGGGCAATACAGCATGATAGCACAGTGCCAGGGAGTGCTGGGGGCAATACAGCATGATAGCACAGTGCCAGGGAGTGCTGGGGGCAATACAGCATGATAGCACAGTGCCAGGGCAGGGAGTGCTGGGGGCAATACAGCATGATAGCACAGTGCCAGGGAGTGCTGGGGGCAATACAGCATGATAGCACAGTGCCAGGGAGTGCTGGGGGCAATACAGCATGATAGCACAGTGCCAGGGCAGGGAGTGCTGGGGGCAATACAGCATGATAGCACAGTGCCAGGGCAGGGAGTGCTGGGGGCAATACAGCATGATAGCACAGTGCCAGGGCAGGGAGTGCTGGGGGCAATACAGCATGATAGCACAGTGCCAGGGCAGGGAGTGCTGGTTGCAATACAGCGTGATAGCACAGTGCCAGGGAGTGCTGGGGGTAATACAGCATGATAGCACAGTGCCAGGCTGTACGTACAGCTACAGAGGGCAATACAGCATGATAGCACAGTGCCAGGGAGTGCTGGGGGCAATACAGCATGATAGCACAGTGCCAGGGAGTGCTGGGGGCAATACAGCATGATAGCACAGTGCCAGGGAGTGTTGGGGGCAATACAACATGATAGTACAGTGCCAGGGCAGGGAGTGCTGGGGGTAATACAACATGATAATACAGTGCCAGGGCAGGGAGTGCTGGGGGTAATACAGCATGATAGCACAGTGCTGGGGGCAATACAGCATGATAGTACAGTGCTAGGGAGTGCTGGGGGCAATACAGCATGATATTACAGTGCCAGGGCAGGGAGTGCTGGGGGTAATACAGCATGATAGCACAGTGCTGGGGGTAATACATCATGATAGCACAGTGCTGGGGGCAATACAGCATGATAGCACAGTGCTGGGGGCAATACAGCATGATAGCACAGTGCTGGGGGCAATACAGCATGATAGTACAGTGCCAGGGAGTGCTGGGGGCAATACAGCATGATAGCACAGTGCCAGGGCAGCGAGTGCTGGGGGCAATACAGCATGATAGCACAGTGCCAGGGCAGCGAGTGCTGGGGGCAATACAGCATGATAGTACAGTGCAAGGGCAGGGAGTGCTGGGGGCAATACAGCATGATATCACAGTGCCAAGGCAGGGAGTGCTGGGGGTAATACAGCATGATAGTACAGTGCAAGGGAGTGCTGGGGGCAATACAGCATGATATCACAGTGCCAAGGCAGGGAGTGCTGGGGGTAATACAGCATGATAGTACAGTGCCAGGGCAGGGAGTGCTGGGGGTAATACAGCATGATAGCACAGTGCCAGGGAGTGCTGGGGGCAATACAGCATGATATCACAGTGCCAAGGCAGGGAGTGCTGGGGGTAATACAGCATGATAGCACAGTGCCAGGGAGTGCTGGGGTTAATACAGCATGATAGCACAGTGCTGTGGGCAATACAGCATGATAGCACAGTGCCAGGGAGTGCTGGGGCAATACAGCATGATAGCACAGTGCCAGGGAGTGTTGGGGGCAATACAGCATGATAGTACAGTGCCAGGCCAGGGAGTGTTGGGGGCAATACAGCATGATAGTACAGTGCCAGGCCAGGGAGTGTTGGGGGCAATACAGCATGATAGTACAGTGCCAGGGCAGGGAGTGCTGGGGGCAATACAGCATGATAGCACAGTGCCAGGGCAGGGAGTGCTGGGGGTAATACAGCATAATAGTACAGTGCCAGGGAGTGCTGGGGGCAATACAGCATGATAGCACAGTGCCAGGGCAGGGAGTGCTGGGGGCAATACAGCGTGATAGTACAGTGCCAGGGAGTGCTGGGGGCAATACAGCGTGATAGCGCAGTGCCAGGGCAGGGAGTGCTGGGGGCAATACAGCATGATAGCACAGTGCCAGGGAGTGCAGGGGGCAATACAGCATGATAGCACAGTGCCAGGGAGTGCTGGGGGCAATACAGCATGATAGTACAGTGCCAGGCTGTACGTACAGCAACAGAGGGCAATACAGCATGATAGCACAGTGCTGGGGGCAATACAGCATGATATCACAGTGCCAAGGGAGGGAGTGCTGGGGGTAATACAGCATGATAGCACAGTGCCAGGGAGTGCTGGGGGCAATACAGCATGATAGTATAGTGCCAGGGCAGGGAGTGCTGGGGGTAATACAGCATGATAGCACAGTGCTGGGGGCAATACAGCATGATAGTACAGTGCCAGGGAGTGCTGGTTGCAATACAGCATGATAGCACAGTGCCAGGCTGTACGTACAGCAACAGAGGGCAATACAGCATGATAGCACAGTGCCAGGGCAGGGAGTGCTGGGGGTAACACAGCATAATAGTACAGTGCTGGGGGCAATACAGCATGATAGCACAGTGCCAGGGCAGGGAGTGCTGTGGGCAATGCAGCATGATAGTACAGTGCCAGGGAGGGCTGGGGGCAATACAGCACGATAGCACAGTGCCAGGGCAGGGAGTGCTGTGGGCAATACAGCATGATAGCACAGTGCCAGGGCGCAATACAGCATGATAGCACAGTGCCAGGGAGGGCTGGGGGCAATACAGCACGATAGCACAGTGCCAGGGAGGGCTGGGGGCAATACAGCACGATAGCACAGTGCCAGGGCAGGGAGTGCTGTGGGCAATACAGCATGATAGCACAGTGCCAGGGCGCAATACAGCATGATAGCACAGTGCCAGGGAATGCTGGAGGCAATACAGCATCATAACCTAGGGCTGGAGGCAATACGGCATCATAACGTAGGGCTGGAGGCAATACGGCATCATAACGTAGGGCTGGAGGCAATACGGCATCATAACGTAGGGCTGGAGGCAATACGGCATCATAACGTAGGGCTGGAGGCAATACGGCATCATAACGTAGGGCTGGAGGCAATACGGCATCATAACATAGGGCTGGAGGCAATACGGCATCATAACGTAGGGCTGGAGGCAATACGGCATCATAACGTAGGGCTGGAGGCAATACGGCATCATAACGTAGGGCTGGAGGCAATACGGCATCATAACGTAGGGCTGGAGGCAATACGGCATCATAACATAGGGCTGGAGGCAATACGGCATCATAACATAGGGCTGGAGGCAATACGGCATCATAACGTAGGGCTGGGGACAATACAGCATCATAACACAGGGAGCGCTGGGGGCAATACAGCATCATAACACAGGGAGCGCTGGGGGCAATACAGCATCATAACACAGGGAGCGCTGGGGGCAATACAGCATCATAACACAGGGAGCGCTGGGGGCAATACAGCATCATAACACAGGGAGCGCTGGGGGCAATACAGCATCATAACACAGGGCTTGGTCTAGGGGCAATACAGCATCATAACACAGGGCTTGGTCTAGGGGCAATACAGCATCATAACACAGGGCTTGGTCTAGGGGCAATACAGCATCATAACACAGGGCTTGGTCTAGGGGCCATACAGCATCATAACACAGGGCTGGGTCTAGGGGCCATACAGCATCATAACACAGGGCTGGGTCTAGGGGCCATACAGCATCATAACACAGGGCTGGGTCTAGGGGCCATACAGCATCATAACACAGGGCTTGGTCTAGGGGCCATACAGCATCATAACACAGGAAGCGCTGGGGGCCATACAGCATCATAACACAGGGTTAGGGCTGTGTGCCATACAGCATCGTAACACAGGGACGCTGGGGGCAATACAGCATCATAACACAGGGCATGGGTTGCTAGGAGTAATACAGCATGGGACACAGGGCAGGGGTTTTTGAGGGCAATACAGCATAGTTCAAGGGCACAGGGCAGGGGGAACTTGGGTCAATACAGCATGAGACATGGCACATCCCTTGCCAACCTCCTAGCTCTCTCCCTCCAGATGTAGGCTTTGGTTTATGTGATACCCGGCTCGATTTCATAGGGACCTCTGTAAACAACTGTAGTTCCAGCATGTGGCCATCTGTGTACTAGGGCGAGTATTTCAAGAATGACTCATAGTATGTTCTGTATTGGAGGGAGTCAGCTGCTTTTTGTAAAGTAAAAGAAAGGCTATTGATGACTGAGTCCCAAGATGCTGGAAGGATTGTGGAAAAGGTAGTGTCCATGGCATGAGTAGATTTTGGTAAAGAGGTACTAGGCCTTTGAAACCTTTGTTGATGCTGAGTGCATGGATGGCTTCCATACACCATCACATTTAAATACCATGTATCACAACATAACATTAGTGATTTATTCTCACTCAGTCTTTTAAATATGGTAGACAACAATTCTCCATTGTGTGAGTGTTTAGACATAACTAGCATGGGAGAACAATCTTAATTACCTATTTCCAGTGATGGTTAACATGAGAAAACAGTATTCTTGGTGTATTTGTATGTTAGGTATCTCCAAAAATATATAATATAGATCCATAAAAGAGCAGTATCGTTAGTACCCGTTTCCATATGTTCAGTTTTTATATAGGCTTGCCAGATTCATGATTTATTGGATAGTTACCACTACATAGTGGTGGATTGTAGATTTAAGTGCTGCAGAAGTCATTAATACTTTGGAATTCTAAAGTGTATGCATTTTGCCTGTTGCAGAAGTTTACTTGTTTTGTCAGTCATCGTGAAGTGATAGATGTTTGGGAATACCTAGTGGATCTAACAACCCTGTTTGTATATTAGTTTACTGAAGGCAAACACACAGATTTCAGTAGATACGGCATAGACATTTGGCTCTGTTTACAACAATCAGGATGCAATTTCTAAATTGGCAATTTTAAAGTGGTATTCTAAGGTCAAGAACCATGACCACTACAGCTCCTTGTCCTACATATAGCGCAAATAGTTCTTGGACACTTTTTTTCTTTTTTTTTCTTAACACCAGAATTTCTATACAAAACCAAGGGGTACAACATGGTGCCTTTGCTGCAGCATTAAAAAAAATAACTTCTCTAACAAAAAAAGGACCTAACTTTCTCTTGATAACAAGACATGTAGCCTTCCAAAGTTAGACAAGATAATGCAGTTCGCTTTCATATTGGCCAAGCCACAGAAGAGGGGCTCGGCTGTATGCACCTAGAAAAGCCAAGGTATTAGATGACACAAGAGGGGTTGGGGGTGCAGTTGTAAACACAGATTCTGTGCATTATGGTAGTGGTTATTGTGCTTGCAGTGTCCTTTTAATATTCTAGAAAAACTAAAATGGCTTAAAGGGATACTGTAAGCACCCAGACCACTTCAGCTAATTGAAGTGGTCTGGGTGCTTTGCCCCTATTGCACTTAGTGTTGCAATGTAAAACATTGCAGTTCCAGAGAACTACAATGTTTCCATTGCAGCTTTAAGTCTGCCCACAGTGGTTGTCTATCAGACAGTCACTGGGGCTGATCCGGTATCTAAACGGACGTTTGATGTGTTATCTGATGCTGGACGTCCTCACGCTCTACATGAGGACCTCCAGCGTCAGATTTTGCACATTGTGGGAGAATTTAATAATACTTTCCCATGGGGAGGTCTAATATGTCGCGCATGCGCATTTGGTCTCCCCCTGGATGCGGAGCCAGAAGACATCGGCACTGCATTCAGGAAAGGGGTTTTAACCCGGGAGGGGGGTCCTGTTAAATCTATAGTGCCAGGAAAATGGCTTTGTTTTCCTGGCACTAGAGGATCCCTTTAAAGGGCACCTGTAGTAAACAACTTTAGTTCTTTAACCCCTCAAGGATGCATGATGGACCCAGTCCATCATGCTGGGGAAGCACTTAATGACACCCGTCATGCGCTAAAATTAACCCCAGATTGCTGGGATCACGGGGTTGATGCTCCTCCCTGCAGCTGTGATCGCTCTGACAGGCTTTCAGAGCGAGCACATGTGCTGCAGGGACTTCTGAACCGCCTCCCTGCTCTTCTCCGTGAAGTGCAGGGAGACGGATCAGTGATGATCCTCTTCACCCTGTAAAAAAATAAATAAAAAAAAATTCAAGTTAAATCCCACCCCTCCTTTCCCCTGCTTTAATAAAATGAACACCTTCCCTGCCCGTGATCAATTGGCAGGGACTACATTTTACTGTGATCAGATTTTTTATTTTTTTTTAAAACCCTCGAGGGTTAAGTTTTATTTTGTTGAACCCTCAGAGTTTAAATTTATTTTATTAACTAATTTAAATATTTTAAAATTATATATTTAGCTAGCTGTGGTGGGTGGAAGTTAGTGGGGAATTGGGTGTTAGGCTAGCTAGGGGTTAACGTTAAAGTTGGTTTAAAAAAAAAAGCTTTAAAAAGTAAAAAAAAGTTTTAAAAAATGTTTTAATAACTTTTAAAATAAAGGTAAAAATAAATCCCACCCCCTTTACCAAGTCCTAATAAAAATTAACCCCTTCCCTTCCAGTTGATCACTGCCAGTATTATACTGTGATCTGAAGAATAGAAAAGAAAAAACACAAAAAATTACAAATATACCTAACCCACCAAATGATAGAAATAGGCAAAAGTACTTAACTGTGGTGTGAAATAGGTACAGCTTTCCAAGAGGTTTCCCCCAAACGGACCTCAAATACAAATATGCGAATAAACAAAAATGGAATACAGCTGAATAACTAAAAAACAAAAAAATACATAACACATAGTGAAGTACAGTAATTGCAATTGGATATAACCCCAATGATTGCACTCACAAAATAGTGTAGAGTAATGCGCCTTTAAGCCCACAATGGGGCTGGAGAAGCGTTCACCTTCCACGGATAGGAACTTCTGTCTTCTAATGAAGTGGGAATACGCCAATTTAAATAAAAATATTTTTATTGAGGCAATACAAAGCCTTAGTAAAAAATTGAATAAAAGTAAATAAAATTTACATTTTATTTACTTTTATTCAATTTTTTACTAAGGCTCCACACGGCTGACATCGGAGGGGGAGGAGAGGTCACCAGCGCTGAGGGAGCCTGGCGCTGGATTAAGGTAAGTGGCTTGAAGGGGTTTTAACCACTTCAGCCCAGCAGGAGGGGGGCCCTAAAGGTGGGAGGGGCCCAAGGACTATATAGTGCTAGGAAAACAAGTTTTTTTTCCTGGCACTACAGTGGTCCTTTAAAAGATGCTCATTACCACTACACCTGGAACAAACTGGCGAAAAAATTATCCTACGCTAAGGTTCAAAATCTGCATTTTGAATTACCCCGGGGTGTTTTCTTTAATAAATAAGTATGTGTTTGTGGGGTAGTTTGAATAACCAACCAGCTAAACTACTCCGATGGGATGTCTTCCACCATAGTATGCCTTTATGGTGTAGCTGGAATATGTAGCCTGCTCAAGTGGGACACGAATGCATCAAAACCCTCCATGAAAATTCACACTTAAAAACCTGAACTTTTACAGCACTGTAACTTCACAAAATAGTGTAGTCTAGGTCATACATTGGGCATATTGTTTTACTCAGAAGACGTAACTGAGCACAATTTGAGGGATTTTATGACAGTGGTACATATCAAGTGTAAGAAATATGTAAAAATGCAATTTTTTTCCCCCTCACCACAAATATTGACATAAATTAGTGAAGCAATAGTGACTCTGTCTGTCTGTATGTCTATGAGTGAGTGTGTCTTCCCTCCAATCACATGGGAAAGGTTTTTTTAATCACCTTTTTTTCCCCCACGCCGTGCTGATGATGCTGTGGCTGGCCCCACCTCCGTGGCTGAAATTATCAATCTTGACGATCTCAGCCAATCCAATGCTTCCCCATAGGAAAGCATTGGAAGACTATTGCGCATGCACAACAAAATGCCACTGCACCAATTTAACTTCTTATAGAGTTGCATTGAATCAATTCATCTCTATAGGGAACATTGACGTAGGTGCTGCACATTGTGAAGCACTGACCCAGGAAGCACCTCTAGAGGCCGTCTGAGTGACAATCGCTAGAGGTGTTACTAGGCAGCAATGTAAACACTGCCATTTGTCTGAAAAGTCAGTGTTTACATTGAAAAGCATTCAGGGACAGACTTTCAGGGACATATAGACTTAAGAACAACTGCATTATGCTGTAGTTGTTCTGGTGACTATAGTGTCCCTTTAATAATTTTATTTTTGGCGTTGATTTCAAAGGCTCCTAGATTCCAAGCAAATTTATCAAGCCCTGGTAAAATGTATTACATCAATGATATAATCAGTAAAAATGCAGTTTTTTTGCATTTTTCACACACAAATGGCACTTACACTGACGATATAATTGTTGTGAAACGTTGTACGGTTTTGAAACACTAATATTTGTGTTCAGCGAAGTCTCCTGAGTATCCAGAGTCAAATATAAGGCTTGTGTTTCAGTTTTTTCACATTGAAATTCGCCAGATTGGTTACGTTGCCTTTGAGACCGTATGGTAGCCCAGGAATGAGAATTACCCCCATGATGACATGCCATTTGCAAAAGTAGACAACTAAAGTTATTGCAAATGGGGTATGTCTAGTCTTTTTTAGTAGCCACTTAGTCACAAACACTGGCCAAAGTTAGCATTAACAGTTACAAAGGGACTCTCCAGTGCCAGGAAAACATATACGTTTTCCTGTCACTGCAGGACCCTGCAGTGCCCCTCTCCCTCCAATCCCCCATCCTATGTTGCTGAAGGGGTTAAAATCCCTTCAGTGACTTACCTAAATCCAGCGCCAATGTCCCTCGGTACTGGATCAGGCTCTGACCATGCTCCTCCCCAGCCAACATCAGCCGTCAGGGGAGATCTAATGCGCATGCGCGCGCATTAGACCTCCCCAAACATTGAATGCTTTCCTATGGGGATTCCGGCGACGCTGGAGGTCCTCATGTATTGCGTAGTTTAAGAACACGGAAGTCCCTCTAGTGACTGTCTGATTAGACAGCCACCAGAGGAGGACTCAACCCTGCAAGGTAATTATTACAGTTTATAAAAACGGCAATAATTACACTTGCAGGGTTAAGGGTGGTGGGAGTTGGCACCCAGACCACTCCAATGGGCAGAAGTGGTCTGGGTGCCAGGAGTGTCCCTTTAACGTGGGAGGGAGGGTGGGGCAGATCTAAAGTTGTTTTTTAACACTAGTTGTATTCCTGACACGATAGTGTTCCTTTAAGTTTTTGTATGGTTACTGAGAATGAAAATACCATACCATATGAAACCACAGGTATTGCAAAATTACATTTCCCAACATTTCTCCTCCCCTCCCCCCATACTTAGGGGCTGTGCCATGTTAGTCTACACATCATTGGTAAATAGGAGTACAAAACAGAAGTTTTGAAAGATGAATGCAGTTTCTAAAAAGTAGAAATGTAATGAACATAGTTTGGCCAGACTAAATAAATAGTGTATGGACAAAAGTGAATAGAAAATTTTCAATGCTTTCTAGATTTGGATGAATATAGTATTTAGAATACCAACTAAGGCACATGGTTGAGGCACCCCAGTGCTCAAAACACACTTTTATTGGAACAAGGTGAACACCGCAACATTTGACCATAGGAGCCAAGTAATGGTTCTGTGTAAATATTTCACATTAGCATTGTTTTTGGTAGCAGCACTGATTGTTTTACCCTATAGCAGTTCTTCAATTAAAGGAGCACTATAGGGTCAGGAACACAAACATGAGCCCCTCATGCCTCTCTAAATATAGAAATCTTGTATTCAAGTCTGGAGCTGCTGGTTCTGTCCCTGTTTAGACCTGCCCACTGCCTGCTGATATCAGCAGAAGTGGTAGCCTGATCCAATCACAATGCTTCCCCATAAGATTGGCTGAGACTGACAAGGAGGCAGACCAGGGGCAGAACCAGCATGATTCAAACACAGCCCTGGCCAATCCGCATCTCCTCATAGAGATGAATTAAATCAGTGCATTTCTTTGAGGAAAGTTCAATGTCTGCATGCAGAGGGAGGAGACACTGAATGAATGGATGCATTTTAGGCAGCCATGACCCAGGATGGATCTCTAACAGCCATCTGAGGAGTGGCCAGTGAAGTTATCACTAGGCTGTAATGTAAACACTGCATTTTCTCGGAAAATACAGGGTTAACCGCAAAAGGCAGAAGGTAATGATTCTACTCACCAGAACAAATTCAATAAGCTGTAGTTGTTCTGGTGGCTATAGTGTCATTTTAATCTAAGCATTAAATTGAGTAAATAACAGTATCAGGGAGTCCACTGACGCATACATATTCGCACAACTGAGTTTCACAAAAATAATTTATGTATGTTTAAAAAATATATTTATTTGTGGTCGAAGACAAATGTAGCATGAGGCTTTACTACCCAACATTTCAAACGGACGAAGAGGGACACTTTAATTGTAGGTGTGTGGCTAGGGCTGTCTTGAGAAAGTTTTGGTAATTACATTTATGCAATGTAATTTGGAATATTGGTGTGTTTTACTTACAAAGGCTGATTACTAAACACAGTTATTGAAGATTAAAAACATTACTGCAAGGCTTGACAAATTTTGGGCGCCAGGTCATCATAACGACTAGGACTTTTTCTTGACGCCTGTGTGTTTGTCAGCTCCCGAGGCGGCCAGCCAAGAGAGAGTACGGCAGGCAGCCAGAGGAGGTGTGATCCTAAACTGTGATCTTCTTGCTCAGTTCCCTCGTGCGCCGTTTTGTGATGGTGGGACATATTCTACTAGGGAGTGAAGCAGAGCAGGACCAGTAAGGTGACAACAGCTCCACTGGACCCCAGGGAAAGGAGGCTGGGAGGACTTAAATGTAAATAAAACTAAACAAATAATGTGTGAGTATTTATATCTGAGTGTGTCTGTCGTTGAGTGTGTCTGTTTAGGTTACTTGCCCCCCACCAATAGCACGGGAAAGGTGTTTAAACGCACTTTTTTTCCTGACATATGGTGGCAGTACAATAGGGATGTACTCTTCCCTCGGGACAAGCATCTGAAATAATTAACATAAAAAGTACCTCCCCTTACCAGGTATAAGAGACCCAACCAGCCCAGGGACCTCCGTTCTCTTTCTTGTTCCAACAGGAACAGACGGCATCTAGAATGTGGATGGTGAGGCACATGGGTTGCTGCCAGGGGGATCCGGTCTGATAGCCTCCCGGGTGGAGAGCTGAATGGCCAGAAAACATCCTGCAGATTACGGAGTAGGTATGTAAGCCTGCTTTTATGCCGAGTGCAGTCACCGGCAAAGCAGGGAGGCGGTCTCTAGTGGCAGCAAATCACTGCCCGTTGGAGACGCATGCGCACGGCGGTGGAACGCACGCGGGTTGGTTTTGCGTTCCACTGGAGTTCTGACTACACATGCGCGGTCTGAACTCCCTGAAATGGCGCCAAATTTAAAGCGGATCTGCCTATTTATGCTGTGCAGATCTTTGTCCGCATGGATGCTCGGCAGTGAAGGTCTCCCGTGTCACCAGCCCCCCCCCACACGGATCAGAGGTTTTAGAGGTTTGATTCTTTAGACTCTCATCTTTAAAACTTTTTTTTTTTTTTTTTTTATTGTTTCTACAAAATGATTTATTGCATATGTATTACAGATATGTCTAGTCCTGTCTCTACTGATAATATGGATAAAGACAAAGTACCTTCTCCTGCTTCTAAAAAAGCCAGTTCCAAAGCTAAACATCTCTATTGTAGTGAATGCTCTACTCCTTTACCAGATGGTTTTAAAAGGAAAGTCTGTAATGTTTGCTCTTCCTTGACACTAGAAAAATCCAAGCAACAAGAGATGAAATCCTTTTTATCTTGGTTTCAGGATAATCTGGCCCAGACTTTTGAGTCTTTTAAAGATCCTGCTCAAACTTCTCCTGTAAAAGCTACTAAACAGAAGTCTAAAAGGAGAGAACTCCATCTAGTTCAGAACTATCCTCAGGTGAATGTTCTTTTTCTTATTCAGAATCCTGTAGCGACTCTTCTATTACTGAGGTTGGTTTTCCTCATGATGAGTTGAGAAAATGTATTAATGTTATCCTTTCTGATGAAACGGTAGATAAATCCAAGGGTAAAACACTTCCAGTCCAACAAAAAATGCTGGATTTAATATTCAGAGAATGGAAGAACCCTGAGAAAAGGGCTTTTGTCTCCAGACATTTTTAAAGTATTGTTAAAATAGAGGAGGAAGATAAATGGGAAGAATTGCCGGTGGTTGATGTACAAGTGGCTTAATTGTCTTAAAAAAAAAAAAAAAACTACCATTCATATTGGTGAAGTTTCTGGTCTGAAAGACCCTATGGATAAGAGAGCTGAAATTTCCAGCAGAAGGGCTTATCAGGCTGCAGGTTTTCAGGCTAAAGCAGCATTAGCCGGGGCTTCAGTGGTGAGAGCTCAGAATCTTTGGCTTAACAATTTGGAAGATGGTCTGAGTGATAACCAAGACAAAGGTCTTTCCCTCCTGTTCCAGAATTTAAGGTTGTCTAATGAGTACCTTATGGATATTGTCACGGAGGTGATAAAGCTTTCGGCTCGTGTCATGGGTTTGACATCTGTGGCCCGAAGGGCACTGTGGCTTAAAGCCTGGACAGCAGACACTGCATCAAAATCTGCAGTATGTGAACTGCCTTTGGAGAAGAAAAAGTTGTTTGGTTCTCCTTTAGAAGTGTTAATCCGACAAATGTCGGAAACCAAAAAGGCCCTGCCTCAAGACAGGAAATATGCCTGGAAACCCAGGTATAGAAATTTCCCGTTCAAATACCATAGGGGTTTTCAAGAAAAACATAGGTTTTTTTCTTCAACAAAGGAAAAATCCAATATTTGACACACAAAAAGACCCTATGTCTGACAGAAACAAACGTTTCTGACGCCATCAGAGTGGGCGGAAGGTTGCAAGGTTTTGTTCACAGATGGAGGGAGACCACTGAAAATCCCTGGATTCTGAATCTGGTTCAAAATGGATCCCGAGTATCCTTGTCTCCTCCTACCGGTCAAAGTTTAAAAACCAAGCCTTTTTTTCTGCCATGGTCTCCCTATTAAGAGAAGGTGTGGTAGAAAGGATTCCAACTTCCCAAGTATATCAAGGGGTATACTCCAGGTTGTTCCTAGTCCCAAAACCGCACATGTCTTTTCGTCCAATCTTGGATCTATAAAACCTGAACAAACTCATTCCTTACCAACATTTCAGAATTGAGACTATAACGTCTGTCACCCATATCCTTCGAAAAGGAGATTTCATGGCAACTTTGGATCTAAAGGATGCCTACCTGCATATTTCTATGAATGTGAAATCAAGAAAGGATATATGGAAATGGAAAAAGGTCCATCATTTCCATTTTAAAGCCCTTCCATTCGGGCTAGCTTCAGCACCCGGGATTTTTACAAAGGTCCTCACACCTGTCACAGCTTTTTAAAGGATCCAATCACAGTAGTACCTTACTTGGACGACTGGTTAATAAAGGCAGATTCAAGAGGCGCTCTAGAGTCAGATGTGGCCTATACGCTAGAAATCCTGGAAGAACATGGTTGGATTGTCAACCTAGAAAAATCACACCTTACTCCTACGAGGTCTATCCTGTTTCTAGGGTTTTTGATCAAGTCAGAGACTCTGTCGGTTCATCTAACAAGAGAAAAGAGAAAAAAGATAAAGGTTTTAATAAAAAACCTTCTCCGGATGTCAGAATGTTCGGTGAGGAAAGCCATGCAGGTGTCATCTGACCTCTACAATTCCGGCAGTAAAATGGGCCAGGGCGGAATCAAGGCCCTTACAGTGGGAAATTCTTGTCCAAAGACTTGGATGCTTTAATGAGTATATCAGATCATACAAAAGAAAAGATCTCTTGGTGGCTAGAGGAAAAATTAATTACAGAAGGCCTGTCTTTTCGTCAAAAATCTTGGATTGTGATTTCTACAGACGCTTCAAATACAGGTTTGGGAGCTCACCTCCTGTATCACGTGTTTGGTCAAAAAAGGAAACAAAGGAATCTTCAAATTTCAGGGAGTTGTTGGCAGTTCTCTATGCTCTTCAGCAGTTCAAGGATTTCATTATAGGAAAAGCTGTAAAGATCCAGTCGGACAATCAGACTACAGTCTCCTACTTAAACAAACAAGGCGGTACAAGAGTAAATTGGATTATGTCCTGGGCTCAAAGTCATCTAGCCGACATTTCCGACATTTACATTTGAGGAGTAGACAACGTGGTAGCGGACGATTTAAGCAGATAAAAATGGTCCCAGAACGAGTGGTCTCTCAATCCAGACATTTTCGCTAATCTGGTGAAGAGATTTGTCTGCCAGTCATAGACCTTATGGCAAGAAGATCAAATGCAAAAGTAAGATCGTTTGCATCCCTCTTCAAGGTAGACAAGCCGCTGGTGATGGATGGTCTTTCCATCCCGTGGGAGTTTCCCCTTGTTTACATTTTTCCCCCAGTGAGCCTTGTCCCAAGGATTCTGCAATAGGTAGCATCAGATCAAGCTCGTATTCTGGCCATAATACCGTACTGGCCAAACCGCAGCTGGTTCTCGGTTTTAAAGAATATGGCTTTAAAGTACTGGATTCTCCCGGTAACACCGGCTAATTCTACATAATAGGGGCATTAAAGAAGAGAGGTTTCAGTTACTGTTAAATTCTACCAGAAGCTCTACTTCTTCTATCTACTTAAAAATTTGGACTAGATTTCTTCACTGGTGCATATCTCATCGTTGCATAGGATCCTCTCCTCCTACTGATACTGTCCTTAATTTTTTTGCAAGATGGTCTTGCTCAAGGTTTTAGTCTGTCTACCCTCAAAGTCCAAGTTTCCACTCTGTCATTTTTTGGTAAAAAAATTGGGCTTCTGATCCTCTCATTAGATTTTTTTTTTTAAAGCTGTTAGACTCGTAAAGCCTCCTAAGGAAATCTGTTTTCCCTCTTGGGATTTGTCTTTAGTTTTGAAATCTCTGTGTACTGAGCCTTTCAAACCTTTGGAAGAAGCTTCATTGAAGAATCTGTCCCTGAAAACCATGTTTTTGGTGGCCATTACTTCGGCTAAGAGGATAAGGGAACTCCAGGCCCTTTCTTCCTCTCCTGCCTTTACAAAACTTCTTCCGGATAAAGTGGTTATGTACCCTAAGCCTTCCTTTCTTCCTAAAGTCATCTCCTCCAAGGTTATAAACCAACCTAATTTTCTTCCTTCCTTTAATGGTCCATCTATGTCAGATTGGAAATTTGATTGGAGCCAACTAGATGTGGGTAGGTCTCTGAAAATCTACTTGGACCGCTCCTCTACATATAGGATGACTGATCATCTATTCGTGAATTTCTTTGGAAAATTTAAAGGCCAAGTTGCCTCCAAGGCCACTTTAGTTGGTGGATACTATTAAATTGGCTTATTCTTCTTCGAATCTACCTCTGCCTGCCTCCTTGAAAGCACATTCTATTAGAGCCATGGCTGCCTCTTGGGCCGAAAAAGCGTGTGCCTCTCCAGAAGATATATGCAAGGCGGCTACCGGCCTTCTTTCAACACTTTTGTCAAGCATTACAGGCTAGACGTATTCTCTGACGCTGATTTTGATCACAAGGTGTTACAAGCTGTTATTGACTAACTTCCCGCCCTTAGTATGGGATCTCGATATATCACTATTGTACTGCCACCATATGTCAGGAAAAACTGTAATTTTACTCACCGTAAATTCCTTTTTCCCTAATATGGTGGCACTACATCACTCCCTCCCTTTATGTATATATATCATATTTGGGTTTTCTATGAATTCCCTGAGGTGTTCTTGGTATGTACTGAGGTCCCTGGGCTGGTTGGGTCTCTTATACCTGGTAAGGGGAGGTACTTTTTCTGTTAATTATTTCAGATACTTGTCCCGAGGGAAGAGTACATCCCTATTGTACTGCCACCATATTAAGGAAAAAGGAATTTATGGTGAGTAAAATTACAGTTTTCCAATGCTGCGACTGGCATTGGTTGAGATTATAAATAATGATGATGACAGCCAATCCAATGCTTTTCCATAGGAAAGCATCAAGAGGTTATTGTACATGCACAGCAAAAAGCTGTACAGGGCCAATCCGCATCCCTTGAAACAATGCACTAGAGGTGTTACTAGGCAGGAATATAAACATGGCCTTTACTTTAAAAAGGTAGGGTTCACCTTGAAAAAACCTACAGGGGCAGGCTGTAGACACCATAACCAGTACATTAAGCTGTAGTAGTTCTGTGACTATAGTGTCCTTTTAAAGAGAAGTCTGCAATCTTAATTTTTACCGTTTTAAAGTATATGCAGTTGTCTTCCCAAAGCAGACATTACTGGTTAAACTAGTTATTTACTACACAAACAACATGGAAAGCCATCTGAACAAGATGTAATCCACGCTTTATTGTTTATTGTTTCTTATATACACATTTATTGTTTCTTATATACTCATTTTCCCACAAGGTTACCACCCACGTGGACCTTGTGGTACACAGGACACAAAGTTACAACAGCCAATCAACACAGTACAGTACAGTCAGACACTCCCAGGCTCTGGGTCAACTCTCCACCTCCTTCTACATCACCCAAACAATGTTTTGCTGGATGTCCTCATGGAGAGTGTGAGTATGTCCAGCATCAGTTAGGCAATCCCTCCCCTCTGCCTGTGATGTAATTACTAAACACAATGGGCTAACTTAATTATCACAGGCAGAAAATATACAGTTTTACCCGAAACACCTCAAAACAACAACATACCCCCATAAATTATACATCCCTGGATAGTCCTGATCTGGGTGAACAACATATCCAAAAATCAGAAAGTGGGGATTGGAGGGGGTAAATCAGAAAAGAGAAACCCCACTACAAAACACCCTTTTCAGTAGAGCGCTAGAAAGTACTTACCCCTAATCTGGGGGTGACAGGTGATTACAATATTGATAAATATGTAAAAAAGAAAGAAAATATATATCCAATGGTGATGAATGTTAAGTAAAGTACATGGAGCGTGAAAAGTTGCAATTCAAACTCACAAGTAAAGAGCCAAGTGTAGGACTGACTCAGATCTCATAGGTAGTGGTGTATATGGGGAAACACCTTCCCTCTTTGTTTTCTTTCTTGAGTACTCAAAAAGACATAAAAGGAAATATCTTCCTGGTGAATTATGTAGGATCAGATAACATACATATAGATATACCAAATAGTATCTTGCTCACTTTTTCCAGAGCCTAGTGAACCTGGCTCTGGGTAAAATCAGCTTGTTACCCACTAGGGGGGGTACACCTTCCTTTGAGGTAGATGGAGGTAGCAGCAAAATGTATTTAAAAGATCCAATTGATCAATTTATTATATTGATCAATTTATTATAATGCTTGAAAAAATAATTATATGCATAAATCTTAGAACAATAAAAAACAATTCTTATGATGCAGACCTCTTCGAGACGCGTTTCGCCCGTCCACGTCTTCAATCGAAGAAGCGCTCAATATGTCAGAGAAGCGCTCAGATCTCACGAATACAATAGCAGGGGTTAAACAATAGCAGGGAGGAATAAAGCAGCCAGTTTCAACTGGTCTGGCAGTGTCCCTGGGACGACGCCGTGCTGGAGGACAATGGGACAGGAAAAAGGGGGAGGGGAAGAGGCACATTCTCCCATGGAATCAAAGGGGCAGAAAAAGTGTTTCAAAATCCAATAAGCCCAAATAGACTTTTTAAATGGCAATACACCCCAGGGACCATAGTCACAGAGCAAGAGGCTGGCAAGCAGGCCTCTCCAAAACCCAGTGGCGAGGTCCCTTTTGCCACACTAGTAAAATGTCTGACTGTCCAGGGGAATAAAGTGGTAACCCAATCTACTTGTCCTGACACAAAATAATATCAATTACACAGATGGGGTCCCTTGTCTAGAGTGGTGGACATTGGCACGACTATTTGCTAAACCCATTTTCACAAATTGAATCTGAAGCAAAAATAGCAGATCTGGAAATATTCTGTAACTTTGCAATACTTAGAACAAGGGTATTTTTGCTTCACATGTTACCACTTGGATTTATTTTGCAAAAATTCCAAGTTGTTTTTTTAACTACCGAGTGTATTCTCTCTTTTTGTCTGTGTGTGTGTGTGCTGACTGTATGTAACGTGTGATGTATACTGGCTGTTATGCGTTTGTGCGGACTATATGCACTGTGTGTGTGCTACCTGCGCATGTATATGTAGTTTGTGTGCTGGCACTGTACAGTGCATATACTTTTTTGACACACTGCAAAACTCGATCGCTCACCCACACATTCCATACTCACACACTGACCCACATAAAGTACAGCCCCTTTTACATTACCAGCAGCAGTCGGTCTGCACCTTTTCCTTCTATTTCCTCCATGTGCAGCCAGCTGGGATATGGCATTGTGCTGTATCTCTGCAACCATAAGCTCTGTGCATTGCGAGGAGTAGCTGCTTCTCACAAATATTTTTTAAGTAGATCTCAGAAGCTACTAAAGATGGTGTCTATAATCCTGAGTATATTTTGAGATATATGTACTTCTGAAGGAATGTGCAAACTAGATGTAGCTCCTGAATTCTCTGGCATTACCTGTTCACTGTAAAAAGCCAGTTATCTAGATTATTATCCAAGTGCTCATGGTTATTTTCCTAGTGCTATGTGACAACAAATTTAAAGGAACACTCCAAGAACCATTACCACTACAGTGTGCTGTTGTGGTTATAACGCCAGAAGTGCCCTGCCACCCATCTCCCATTGTAAGTAGTCAAACCACATGGCATCAGGTTGACTTCTTACGTGGGGTCTGCGTCAGCTATTTCCACCAGTGAGAGCCAGAGACTCCTGACTGGAGCTCCTTTAGCTCTCTTGATCAACACCATTCCAATCAGGGCCAGATTATTGGCTGAGAGCATTAGTCGATTGCTCTTATCCAGTGCACTAATCCTTGTACCACTGGACTTTGCTTTGCACTTCCTGTTCTCATTGAGGCAATGACTGGCGTCTGACAGATCTTGGTAAGAAATCAGACTGGTAACGCTATAGTGGTTATTAGGGATCGACCAATATAGATTTATTTTTATTAGAACTGATCCGATAATCTGTGAACTTTCAGGCCGATAGTTTACCAATATTCTGTACATTTACCGTATTATTTATTTTTTTGCCAATCTTTTTTTTAAGTGGTAAATGCACAAGATAACATGCCAGTTAGATTTCTTTTTATGTTTTCAAGAATATTTATGTGTGTGTGTAGTGGATGCAGTGAGAGTATTTGATTAGTAGATGCAGTGTGTGGGTAGTGAATGCAGTGTGTGTGTGTGTGTTTGTGTAGTGGATGCAGTGTGTTTTGTGTAAATATGTGCGATAGGAACTCTCCCCCTGGCCTCCACCTCTTACCTGTCTCTTAGTGCCCCCCTTACCTGTCTTAGTGCCTCCCCATTCTCCGTCTCTTAGTGCCCTCCCTTTCCCCCCATTCCCCTAAATGTTCCTCTTCCTTCTCTTTTAGTGGTCCCCCCCCAACCCCGGTATTCCTTTTCCCTTCCCTCCCCTGTACCTTAGTGTCCTCCCTTAGTGTTCCTCTCTCCCCCATAGTGTTCTTCACCCCCTCCCCTGTCCCCCATAGTGTTCTTCACCCCCTCCCCTGTCCCCCATAGTGTTCTTCACCCCCTCCCCTGTCCCCCATAGTATTCTTCACCCCTTCCCCTGTCCCCCATAGTGTTCCTTTCCACCTCCCCTCCCCCATAGTGTTCCTTACCACCCCCGTCCCTTAGTGCTCCCCTCCTTGGTCCCCGCTCCCCGGTGTGTCTCCTGGTAGTGTCGCCGAGCGGAGCAGTGCGCACTGCGGTACAAGAGATTCAGACTCCTGTACCCGACCGGACTGACAGTGAGCACTTCCTTTCAGTCCGCCCGGGTACAGGAAACCTAAATTCCTGTACCGTGCTGTGCACTGCTCGGCCACGCTACACAGAGTGCCTGGCAGGAGGGAGCGCTGTGCGCCCATCCCTGCCGGTCACTCAGATCTAGCGACCGCTTGTGCCGCCTTATGGATGTGCCGGCCCACCCATTCATTCATTATCGGTATTGCCGGTGATTATCGTCCGATACTTACAAAATAATCGGAATATCAGCAAAACCGATAATCGGTCGATCCCTAGTGGTTATAGTGATTGTGGTTCTTGGTGCCCACATGGTTTCCTTTAATCATTCTGTTACATGGCTAATTGAAAGGACTCTATAGGTATCCAGACCACTTAATCTCAATGAAGTGGTCTGGATTCTATGTCCCCGTTGTTTTAACTGAAAATATTGCTGTTCTGTAGGAAGGTTCAAAAGGCAGTTGGCTATATTGGACAATATTTATTTATATTTTTAGATAAAGACTTACAAAAGGGGTGTCATGAGGTGTACCACAATTATTTATGCATGGAAGCAGTTGTGGGTTTACGGCAGTTGTCATGATAGACAAGGAAAAGGTGAACATCTGATAATATTTATTACCATACCAATACTGTCCTGAAAATTCATGCTCTAACTCACAGGTTATATGGGGGGTTATGTCTCAATTTGAATTTAATTTATTAACCACAGCAAGCAATACAGTTAATGAAGTGTAATTATTAATTTATTATGAGATATGTATAAATGGTTTACTTTTGAGGATTCCTTTCTGTTTATTGACACAAGTTGTTTTTATCTTTGTAGGAGTTGGGAAATCATGTCTCTTATTGCAGTTCACAGACAAGCGATTCCAACCGGTGCATGATTTGACAATTGGTAAGTTGAAATCAGTCATTGAAATCATTATTTAAAAAAAAAAAAACATTTACGACTTGGTAGTTTTTACCTGCTGTTTAGTCTTACTAACCTGTAAGTATGAACACTGAATTTGTAGTGGTCATATTTTAGTTAGTGTAACTTTTGTGTTCAGTCAGGATAGAGTGAGGATAAATACGAAAGTAAGAGCCTTGCCTTGCGTTACCTTTGAATACTGGCAACCTTTCAAAATCGCACTTTGTGAGTTCATACATCTATATGCCTCTCATGATATCTTAAATTTACCCTTACATTCACCGACCCAAGCTCATGTTGTGGGGTTCCAGAGCAATATATGCAACAAGCCCGTTGGCTAATATAAGTCAATATAGGAAAAAGTTGTTCTTGTAGGAGAAAAACATACACAATCAATTTTGTTTAGTAAGACGTTTTTTTAACAGTTACCTATTTGCATAGTCAGAATTTAACTAAATGAATGCTGTAGTAATGTATTCCCTTGTGGGGGCAAATTCCTACAGGTGAATTTTATGATGGTGTCTACAGTGCTCCGGCTTAACTAGTGGAAACTAGACAATACTTGACTTAGAGGTGGTTTTTATTTTCTGCCAGGTTAACTCACACACCATGTTAAACATAAGACTAAAACAGCATTCCATTTTAGTTCTCATTTTAATTATAAACTGTGTGAATCAAGTCTGATACCACAACATTTCTGTAAGGTACTTAACATCAAAAGGACACTGTAACTACAGTTTAATGTAGTACTTTGTATGAAGAGCATCTCCTCCTTTTTATTTTTATTTTTATTTATTTTTATTAGAAATTAGATCTTTCCAAAATGAACCTTGTTAACCTTCATGGTTTTACAGAGACACTATAGGCTGCATCTGTGTGCAGTGACCATGTCTGTTTAATCTTGCAATGTAAAACATTGCAGTTTCTGAGAAACTTCAATGATTACATTGCAGGGTTAACTGCACCTCTAGTGACTGTCCCTAATGGAGTTTTACTCCATTAAATGGTGTTGTATGTCCTTACTCTTTACTTAGAAAAGCATTGATTCAAGCGCAGCACATGCGCATTAGGTTCAACAATCGCCATGACCTTGCGGCAGGAGGAAATCTAGCCAGCACCTAGGAAACATCTGTGCTGGAAATGGAGAGAGAAGTTTAAAAAAGAAAATTAAGTTTTAACCCTTTTTCACCAAAGAGTGGTGGACCCATTATGTTAGGGACACAATACAGGTTTGTATTTCTAATGATATTGTGTCCCTTTAAGCAGACAACAGGTCCTAGTACATCCTGGTTTGCAAAGACTTCTCATCGAGCTGTATTGGGAAGCCTCTGATTGGACAGTTACAGAAACAGAAAAAACCTTTATTTACTTACCTTTTCCCAGTGCGCTGGGTCACGGCTCCACCGAGGGAAAATCTGACGCTGGCTGTCCTCATGCGGAGCATCTGGAAGACAGCCACTGGAAGCAGACTTAGTCCTGCACTGTAAACCTTGCAGTTTCTCTGGAACTGCAGTCTTTTACATTGCAGTACTAAGTGCAATAGGGACACTGCATCCAGACCACTTTAATGAGCTGCAGTGGTGTGGGTGCCTATAGTGTCCCTTTAAATTAGCCACATGCAGCAACATATAATCTGGCAAGAATTTCTTCAATAGGTACATTCCTGGATTTTTTTGATTGGATATTGCACATTGTTGTTCCTTTTTAATTCTCTTGCAGTACTAAATATCCTGATAGATGGCAGTATAGCATTTCATTTTACACCTAGAAATAAATGTAACCTAGCCTCGTTACTGCTACATTTCTTTGTTTCTCGTGTGATATTTATACACCTATATTTACACAATAGTCAACAAAGTCATTGGCAGGCATTTAAAATTGGTTTTGGAAATGACTCATCTTAACTCCTTAGGAATGTTAAGAAGTTTCATTACATCCGGACTATAATGGGCTCTGATGCTTTTAGGGCATAATGACATGTTTTGCAGATTTGGTGTGAGCAGGGTTAAATCAATGGATAAACTGAAAAATGGTGTGGTGTACTAATACTTATATATGTGTGAAAACTCCAAAATAATGATGGGTATACATACAGTATTAAGAATCTTCAAAACCAAACATGCATATAATGATCCAGCTTTAAAATAAATTTCTTTAAGCTTTAATCACTTTGAATCATACAAATGAAAAATAGCATTAACTCACACAAAACCTGTAAAAACAAAAAGGATAAAATTACACTCACAAACATAAAGCTACTGACAGTTGCTAAACGGGCACGTAAACAGGTCAAATTGACTTCCTGATGGTGACTATTCAGTATGTCCAGCAGAAGTCTGATCCTCATCCTGTGATGGCTCTGGATCCTTCAACAGCAAGGGAAACTCCTCTTGATTATATGCAAATTATCCAGGTGGAATAAGTCAGTCACCCACTGCTCCACAATCTGACCAGTTTCGTCCTTTGGGACTTTGTCAAGGAAGAAGCTCTTCCTTTATGTGTGTAAGTGTCATTTTTTTTTTTTCCTTTTTTTTTTTTTACATATTTGTGATTCAAGTGATTTTATGCTATGTTCCATTTGTATGTTTTTAAATAAAGCTTGAAGAAATTAATTTTACACCAGGATCATTATATGCCTATTTGTTTTTGAAGGTCCAATAGTATATGTATACCTACCCATCATTATTTTGGGGTTTTCACACACATTAGTACACCACACAATTTTTCTGTTTCTTCTTTATGTATGTGTGTATGTATGTATAAAAATAGGGGTTATCCTGTCAGGGAAGAAATGGCACAACATAGTGCAAAACTGTATGATTTTTACAGTTTTGCATACAGTTTTGAACTATGTTGTGCCATTTCTTCCCTGACCAGATAACCCCTATTTTTATACATTGATAATTTCAGAAGGTTCTGTTGAGGAAATCTTCGGGACTTTCTATACTTGAAGGGAAGTTTATTTATTATATTAATTGCACTTTGATCACCAGAAGCACTTTATATAATTGTGAAAGTACTTCTGTGTAATATTTTTATCTCTTCTTTATTTGTTACGCCTTTTTTTTTGTTTGTTTGTTTATTGGTGTGTGGGTGTATGTTTAAGTACACACTATCTTTCTGGTTTTTTTTTTTTGTTTTTTTTTTTAAATCAATGGCTCTGGCTATTTTTAGTGGCCACAGACCTTTTGCTGAGCTGTTTGCAGCGCTGGACATCAGCTCCGCGCATGGCTCTTTAAATAGGCATCTAAATGCCTCGAACTAGATTGCGGCATCTAGTACAGTTATTTGCGAATTATATCTGACAAGAAAAGAAAATCAAAAAACAAACAAATGTATTTCTAATCACAACCACTAGGGGTCCTCCTAATAAATGCTAGATATAGTGGCACTTAATTCATTTTGCCCACTTCCTTTAACTCAACTTGACCAAAACTGAAATTCTGGTCTTTTCTCCCTCAAGTGTTGCTACTCCTGTGTGTGTCTCCCTCCAAGTCAACAGTGCTACCATCAGCTTCACCACGCAGGCTCGCTGCTTAGGTGTTCTCTTTGACTCCGACCTCTCCTTCACGCCTCATGTTCAGTCTATCGCCACATCCTGCCTCTTCCATCTCAAAACATTGCGCGCATCTGGCCCTACTTAACGCCAGATGCGACTAACGTGCTGGTCCATTCCACTGTCCTTTTCTCGCCTTGACCACTGTAATCCGCTTCTCAGTGGTCTTTCATGCTCCCAACTTGCGCTGTTACAGTCCATAATGAATGCGGTCGAGGCTCATCCTCCTGCCGCACACGCCTCACCCTTCTCTTAGACTCTACATTGGCTACCTTTAAGATATAGGGCTCAATTTAAAATTCTGGTTCTTGCTTTCAAATCTCTACATAATGCTGCTCCAACCTATCTATCCTCCCTAATACACAAGTATTGCCTGTCTAGGCCCTTACACTCTGCTGAAGACTTACATCTATCTTCTGTCTGTACTCCCACCTCTGATGCTCGCCTTCAAGACTTCTCAAGGGCTGCACCGTTCCTGTGGAACTCACTTCCCTCCTCCGTTAGATGCTCACCCAGTCTCCACTCCTTCAAATCATTAAAAACCCACTTCTTCATAAAAGCGTATCAATTACATTAACCCCTTAAAGGACCACTCTAGGCACCCAGACCACTTCAGCTTAATGAAGTGGTCTGGGTGCCTGGTCCCTCTAGGATTAACCCTTTTTTTTTATAAACATAGCAGTTTCAGAGAAACTGCTATGTTTATACTGAGGGTTAATCCAGCCTCCAGAACCTCTAGTGGCTGTCTCATTGACAGCCGCTAGAGGCGCTTGCGTGCTTCTCACTGTGAAAATCACAGTGAGAGCACGCAAGCGTCCATAGGAAATGCTTTCCTATGCATCTGGCTGAATGCGCGCGCAGCTCTTGCCGCGCATGCGCATTCAGCCGATGACGTTGCAAGCAAGGAGGAGTACAGCTCCCCGCCCGGCGCTGGAGAAAGGTAAGTGTTTAACCCCTTCCTCTCTCCAGAGCCCGGCAGGAGGGGGTCCCTTAGGGTGGGGGCACCCTCAGGGCACTATAGTGCCAGGAAAACGAGTATGTTTTCCTGGCACTATAGTGGTCCTTTAAGGACACATGACATGTGTGACATGTCATGATTCCCTTTTATTCCAGAAGTTTGGTCCTTAAGGGGTTAATAGCTCCCAACTGATTCCTCTGTTGTCTCTGTCATTAATCTAATACTATCCTTACCTTTTGTGTCACTTTACCCCACTCCCTCTAACATTTAAGCTCATTGAGCAGGGCCCTTGTCTGGTAAAACTACATGTTTGTTCGTCCACCCACTGTAAAGCGCTGCGGAATTTGTTGGCGCTATATAAATATTAACAGAATAATAACATAATATTTTGTTATTTCAAACATGTAAACTTGAGGTAAATTAGACTATTGTGTGGTAGGTTAATACTTTCTATAATATATAGTGTTAAGCAACAGGGGCGGAATTAAAAATGCCCCACCAGTTCTGCTTCACAGTTGGATGAATAATATCTCTGTCATGGCCGAAATGAAAACATAAATAAAAGAGCTCAGAGTGTGATCTTCGTGCAGCTCTTTTAATGGGAATTTAAATCCCTGCTCACACCAGGAAACTCTGGTGCATACCCAGAACTCCCCTCTGTCAGCCTGTGCCATTTTTGGTGACCTCAGACTTTTTGGTGAGCTGCATGCAGTGCTGAAAGTCAGCACTTGTGATATCAGCTATGTTCTCTGTGACTGCTATTAGGCTTACAAGACAAATATACCAAATTATTCAATAGCTCCACATTCAAATTTTATTTTACTCCTTGTACTTTGTGACCTGTAACTGCCAAACATAGACTGAAATATTACTTATGTACTCTGAAAAACAGGACAAATAAATTAATTTATTTTTAATTACCTTTCATAAGCTGCACTAATAATACACACGTAAAAAAAGTTTTTCTTATTTTTGTGTAGTTTTTCTGTTACAATTGAGATCAAATTAAAGTCCTTTCTGTCCTTAAAGGACCACTATAGTGCCAGGAAAACATACTTGTTTTCCTGGCACTATAGTGCCCTGAGGGTGCCCCCACCCTCAGGCTCCCCCTCCTTCCGGGCTCTCAGGAGAGGAAAGGGGTTAAATCTTACCTTTTTTTCCAGCGCCGGGCAGGGAGCTCTCCTCCTCCTCTCCGCCTCCTCTCCTCCCCTTCGGCTGAATGCGCATGCGCGGCAGGAACTGCGCGCGCATTCAGCCAGTCTCATAGGAAAGCATTCATAATGCTTTCCTATGGACGATGGCATCTTCTCACTGTGATTTTCACAGTGAGAAGCACGCAAACGCCTCTAGCGGCTGTCAATGAGACAGCCACTAGAGGCTTTAGAGGCTGGATTAACCCATTTATAAACATAGCAGTTTCTCTGAAACTGCTATGTTAAAAAAAAAAAAAAAGGGTTAATCCTAGAGGGACCTGGCACCCAGACCACTTCATTAAGCTGAAGTGGTCTGGGTGCCTAGAGTGGTCCTTTAAACAATGTTTAATATGTATGGGTTTGCTTGAAGAGACACCCTCAAATTACGGTGGAACAAACCTATATAATTCAAATTCAAGGTTGTGTTTTGGTTCAAAATGTGGTCAATTACCTCCATCATTACAAGGACACTCCAGGCACCAAAACATCATCTAAATTAAGTTGTTATGGTGCCAGTAGGCCAGTGGAGGCACTCACAAACGGTTTAACCCCAAAGTTGTCTCCAGCAGCATATTCAGAAAGAGTAGAGGTCTGCTGGGCAGGGGAGCTGCTGATTGGCTATGAGCAGTCATCTGACGCTCTCAGCCAATCAGTGACTCCCTGTTCACAAAACTGGCTTGGAAAGAAACGTACCTTTCTCAAGCTAGTTTAGTGAATGGGGGAGTCACTAATTGGCTCAGAGCGTCAGTGACAGCTCTCGGCAAATCAGCGCCGACCTTGCCTGGTAGCACTCTGCGCTTCCTGAATCTGTAAAATTGCCTGGAGGGATGAAGATTGGAGCTGGAGGAAACTTTGGAGTTAAACTATTAGAGAACCGTTTAACCCTTTGAGGTAAGAGTGCCTCCTGGCACCATAACAACTTCATTTAGATGAACTTGTTTTGGTGCTTGGAGTGAGAAGTGTATTAGATTTTATTTTATTTTTACAAAATAGGAAAGTGCAATGTGCTTTTTGATTACACACATCTTCCCATTTTATCCCCAAAATTATTTTTTTTTATCCTGTCAAATTTCTTCCTATATACTTCAGTTCTGTTGTGGTTACAGACAGTGAAGACATTAGACCTATTCTGAAAAAGAGGATACGTTTTTACATTTTATTTTGTTATTGTAGACTGGAGGTGGCAAACATGTCTATTGTTAAAGCTTGTACTTTATAAATATGTTTGATGCCCCATATTCCTGCAATGTAGGTCATGCACTTGTGGTGCCTGATCAGTGAGCCCAGTCTCCTTGGTAACAAGTGGGTTTAGTTCTAGTCTATTGGAAATAGGCTGAATGAGTGCACAGTAATATGAGAATTTTCCCTGTAACCACAGATGCCTAGTGGCAACAGGTCATAGCCTGAGAGGGAAGAACATGTGATAAGGTAGCAGCTAATGGTGGAGACTTAAATTGACAAACAGCTGTAGTAAGCAGACTGCAATGTAAAATGTAGATTTCAGTGGAATAAATGGCATGCCTGTCCCACTGTTACTTTACAGAAAGGCATATCGTGAATAAACAAAAGGCAGTGCCATCTTTGCACTTTTAAGTTACCTTTAGCACACACATTAACTCTTTTTTTTAATGTTTTTGTTGCTTTGGTTACTGCAATCTGATCTTCACTATCATAGGTTGATACAATAATGTACGAGTCAATGTATAAATTCACACAGTCTTCAGTCTTTATTTGCATCTCCATTTATATCTTCACCCAAAATCCTTTTTGGTAAATGTTTGCAAATCTGATTGCTTTTATTTTGACTCAAATGTGCTTGTTTTTTTTTTTTTTTTTTAAATAGTTTGCATCAACTCTTGATACCTTTTATGTTTATGTCTGCTTCATATTGTAAGCAAGGTGTCAAATAGTTTATAACCCCAATTTATCATATATCTGTTTTAAAGTGGGACCTTGAATTTCGAGTGCCTGTTCCTATTTAATTTCAAGTATTTGTTTTAATCATTGTGTGCCATTGAAAATTATTGTGCAGGCTATTTTAATATATGGTCCTTGTGTCCTTAAGCCTTGTTCACATGCTATGTTATGCTGCACTATCTTGTAGTCTGTTTACATTAGGGATGTGCATGGGCAAAATATTCGGTACGGCATTCCGAAATTCTTCAGTTCGGCACTTCCGAACTTTGGCACTTCAATTCAGTTCGGGACTTCGGATATGTTCTCTTGCGGCCGCTTAGTAGATAACTTCCTAATTCCCACAGTATTAGGGAGCTATCAACCAAAAGGCTGAAAAGACCTTAAGCGGGTTGGGGCCCTAAATACCAATAAGGGGGGGACCTATTGTCCTCCCCCATGGCCCTCACCCCTGAGTGGCGGGTGGGGGCCATAAATAAAAATGTTACACCCCCCCCCTCCCCTTGTGACCATTTTTCCTTCTCCTCCCTACACCGCCCAACTCCCCCTCCCCCCACCCCTCCCCCAATTCTAATTTAGGGCCAGGACACACACTATAGGTTCCCCCCATTGTTATCCAGGGCCCCTCACCTGCCTCTCAGTGGTGGGGGGGCAGGAGGCAAAAGGTCTCCACTTCAGTTTAAAAGCCCCACTTGCGCGGCACGGGTGGGGACTCAGGTGGGGGGACACTTGGAGGCTTTTTTTGTTTTGGCTTTTTAGCCACAGGCTGCTCACAGTTTACTGGACATGCCCCTACTCATGATATAGCGAGTAGGGTCAGAATTTACTAAGTAATTTTTACTTAGTATTAGTAATATTGGCCGAAAGACCAATTTAACTCTTTCAGCCTTTTGGAAGATAGCCCCCTAATACCGTTGGAATCAGGGAGTTATCTACTTACTCATTCCCATCCATTGAACGTGTTACTTGATTGTTGTAAGTGTTTACAGCTGAATCCTGGCTATGTGTGTGCACTTTTTATTTAAACTGGTATACAGTGTAATATTCTTCCACTGGGTATATTAGTACTTCTGCAATTCTATGCTTCGGCTATTCGTCAAATCCGAAATTCGGCTCTTCGGACATTCGGTGCTTCAGGACTTTGGTTCGGCACTTCGGACATTCGTCAATTCAGCTGCAGAACTAAACTAATTGCACATGTCTAGTTTACATTGTTCAAATGTAATTTAAGCCTTTATATTGTGTTATTACTGGGTTGTGCCCTCTAGTGCTTTATGCATAAAATAAGCAGAGCTCTTCTGAAAGATATTGGCATTGTTAAAATTGGGACACTGTATTTTTAATACCAGAGTGTAGTGATACAGTCTACTATATTGTGTTGAAAACATATGTTTTGTGTAGTGTATTCTGTTTTGTGTTTATTTGCTATGGTATATTGATGTATCCATACCTCATTTTACTTTTGCTTCAGCAATGTGATTATAGATGCTTTTATTTGAACATTACACCTATTTATAAAGAGTTATCCTGGCTTATATTGACCTTTATACAAATAACTGTTTACTTATGTTTTGAAATGTAAAAACTTTGACTAACGTTTAACATATTCTCCTGTTTTTAGGTGTAGAATTTGGTGCTCGGATGATAACAATTGATGGCAAGCAAATTAAACTTCAGATATGGGACACTGTAAGTAACATTAACGTAAACCTATATATGAATAAACACTACTGAAGACTATGGCATTCTTACCACAATTGGATCTATTCTTAAGGGGACACTCCATTGAATATTTTTTATAAAATGTTTAGTAGAGATATCCCCAAAGAATGCATTAAAGGGACACTGTAGGCACTTTTAACAATTACATCTTATTGAAGTTGTTATAGTGCCTGCAGTCATACCCCCCCAAAACCCAGTATTGATCTAATTTTAAGCCACGGCTTAACCCCTTTAGACCGGAGGGCGTACTATTACACCCTATTATAGGCGTCTCTAAACGCCGCCGGGCGTAATAGTACGCCCTCCGGTCTTTCGTGGGACCGCCGGCGATCGCGGTGGGGGGGACTCCCAGGGAGCCCCCCGCGGCACGACCGTCCTCCTCGAAGCCCCCCGGCTGTGTGAGAGTGGGGTCCTTGCGAGGACCCCACAATCACATGGCCGGGGATAGCTGGCTTCTGTATTGCCAGCAGGGGGGCTGCCTGTAATGACAGGTGGTCCCCCTGCTGGCTGAAAATAAAATTAAAATGAGTTAAAAGTGTAAAAAAAAAAAATATATACTTAGATCATATATATATATGTATTATATATATATATGATCTAAGTATATATATACACATATACATACACACATGTACACCGTCTAGGTGTATTTTACTATTAATATATATATAATTATATATTAATATCAAATTACACGTAGACTGATACTGATTAAATATATATATAATTATTGTTATATATATATTTATATATAATATAAAAAAAACAAAAATGTAAATACGTTAAAAAAATAATTAAAAATAAATAATAAAAAAATATTTAGATGTGTGTTATTTTGTTCTAACTGTATTGTGAAATTAATATATATATATATCAAAATACACGTAGAACGAAATATATATATCTATATACATAAATATATATGTATATATCACTATATATATACCTATATATAAATAAAAATATTTTTAAAAAATTATATAGATATATACATATATATACACATACGTATATATATATATATATATATATATATATATATATATTCTACATATATATTTATGTAATATTTTTACATAATTAGGTATCTTAATTAATTACAATTAGCTAGACCTGCCTGACAACCCATGCCGATAGTAAAGGGAATTTAATTTGCTAGCACTATATTTAACCCTATAACTTTCCGAGACACCATAAAACCTGTACTGTTCTATTCGGGAGACTTCGCTGAACACAAATATTAGTGTTTCAAAACAGTAAAATGTATTACAACGATGATATCGCCAGTAAAAGTGACGTTTTTTGCATTTTTCACGCACAAACAGCATTACACGGACAATATTATTGCTGTGATACTTTTTACTGTTTTGAAACACAAATATTTGTGTTCAGCGAAGTCTCCCGAGTACAACAGTACCCCTCATGTACAGGTTTTATGGTGTTTTCAAAACTTACAGCGTCAAATATAAGGCTTGCATTTCATTTTTTTCACATTCAATTTTGCCAGATTGGTTACGTTGCCTTTGAGACCCTATGGTAGCCCAAGAATGAAAATTATCCCTATGATGGCATACCATTTGCAATAGTAGACAACCCAAGTTATTGCAAACAGGGTATGTCCAGTCTTTTTTAGTAGCCACTTAGTCACAAACACTGGCCAAAATTGGCGTTTTTTGCATTTTTCACACACAAACAAATACTAACGCTAACTTTGGCCAGTGTTTGTGACCAAATGGCTACTAAAAAAGACTGGACATACCCCATTTGCAATACCTTGGGTTGTCTACTATTGCAAATGGTATGCCATTATGGGTGTAAATTTCATTCCCGGGCTACTATACAGTCTCAAAGGCAACGTAACCAATCTGGCGAATTTCAATTTCAAATGTAACATGCTATATTTGACCCTGTAACTTCCCAAAACGCCATAAAACCTGTACATAGCGGGTACTGTCTTACACGTGAGACTTGACTAAATACAAATATGTGTATTTTATTGCAGTAAAAGCAAACAGTATTATGACACTGACCTTTAAAATGTCATTTAGAAATTTAATAAATTTGCAATAAAATTATGTTTCATAGCTAAATATTTGATATTAAATGAAAGCCCTGTTTCCCCTGAATAAAATGATATATAATAAGGGTGGGTGCATTTACTATGAAAGAGGTGTATTACGGCTGGACAGACATGTAGCGCAAATGCCAGGTTTTGTTTACATTTTGTTTTGTTCACAACGTGTACATTTGGCTCCGTCCTTAAGGGGTTAAAGCCCATTGGTTATGAATGCTGGGAATCTTACTTTCCGACTCTTGTGCTGTAATGTGACATTACAATGATTTTCTATGGAGGAATCATAGGCCCATCATGGCATGAGCCTACGTACCCCAGTACTCTATGGGGAGACTTGGTTTGGCCCACAATTCTGGAGACATACCTCCAAGACTACATCACTCAAGGAGGTTGCAGCAGCGCTGAAGGAAACTCAGCGCTGGAGAAAAAGTGAATAACTCATTTAATTTTTGCACACATGAGAAGGGGTACAAAATAAGGGGCAGGACTGTAGCGTTAGGAATACAGATATGTGTTACTAACACTACAGTGTTCCTATAATGTATTTTTTTCCTGAATATTTTCTTTGGTAGTATATGAAAAGAACCCGCTTGCAAAAGCTGCAGACTTACAATCTGTGCCAGGGAATTGACCAAACAGAGGCTTCTCAGGAGAAGCGTCCTTGCTGGAGTCACAACCGCACATAAGTTTGTAGCTTTCCAGTGCTTCTCAATGAGTTGTAGGACAGTTCCTTGAGAAAGCGGGAGCCATTTCTTCCCTAATTTATTAAAGTGTTGATTTTCTATTAAAATTTCAACTTTTATAAACAATAAAAAACAAACTCCAGACATAAATTTCATTAGCAAGCTGAAGTGATTGTGTCTGGAGTCGTTTAATGTAGATCTTTTCATATCATGCCATAGGGAATATCTAAATTTTTAAGGTGATTTGTCTCCTTTCAAAAGTGATTTAAAGGCTCACTGTTTTTGCATATTCTCCGCACTAATAATTGCTATACAGTTTAACATGTTAAACTTGCATATTCTGAGTAATGATTCGCTTTTTGTGCTTAGTTTGCTTTTTTATTGGCTACTCATACAGAGTTGTGATTGGAATTGTTAGTTGTTCGCTCTGTGGTTAATTTAAGACTGGAATCCCCAATGAAATCGTAAGAAACAGAGAAACAAAGATGCCCAGCAAAAAATAAATTTCCCAAATAGTTTTACTCAGATATTCCTTGAATACATTTGGATTATACTCTAGTTTGAATAAAGACAACTGTCCAGGGCATACTGAAAACGAGAGAAATCTCAATGTATCCTTTCTGGTAAAATATTTTATAAATAAATATACAGTATTAATGTTACACAAATCTATTGTTTTTATTGAACACACCATGTAAACATTCACAGTGCAGGTGGAAAAAGTATGTGAACCCTTGGATTTAATAACTGGTTGAACCTCCTTTGGCAGCAATAACTTCAACCAAACGTTTCCTGTAGTTGCAGATCAGACGTGCACAACGGAGTAATTCTTGACCATTCCTCTTTACAGAACTGTTTCAGTTCAGCAATATTCTTGGGATGTCTGGTGTGAATCGCTTTCTTGAGCTTCAGCTGGTAGACAGATGGCCTTAAGTTCTCCTGCAAAATGTCTTGATAAACTTGGAAATTCATTTTTCCTTCGATGATAGCAATCCGTCCAGGCCCTGACGCAGCAAAGCAGCCCCAAACCATGATGCCCCCACCACCATGCTTCACAGTTGGGATGAGGTTTTGATGTTGGTGTGCTGTGCCTTTTTTTTTGCAACACATAGTGTTGTGTGTTTCTTCCAAACAACTCAACTCAACTTTCATCTGTCCACAGAATATCTTGCCAGTACTGCTGTGGAACATCCAAGTGCTCTTGTGCAAACTGAAAACGTGCAGCAACGTTTTGTTTGGACAGCAGTGGCTTCCTCTGTGGTATCCTCCCATGAAATCCATTCTTGTTTAGTGTTTTATGTATTGTAGATTCGCTAACAGGGATGTTAGCATTTGCCAGTGACTTTTGTAAGTCTTTAGCTGACACTCTAGGATTCTTCACCTCATTGAGCAGTCTGCGCTGTGCTCTTGCAGTCATCTTTACAGGACGGCCACTCCTAGGGAGAGTAGCAGCAGTGCTGAACTTTCTCCATTTATAGACAATTTGTCTTACCGTGGACTGATGAACAGCAAGGCTTTTGGAGATACTTTTATAACCCTTTACAGCTTTATGCAAGTCAACAATTCTTAATCGTAGGTCTTCTGAGAGCTCTTTTGTGCGAGGCATCATTCACAGCAGGCAATGCTTCTTGTGAAAAGCAAACCCAGAACTGGTGTGTGTTTTTTATAGGGCAGGGCAGCTGTAACCAACACCTCCAATCTCATCTCATTGATTAGACTCCAGTTGGCTGACATCTCACTCCAATTAGCTCTTGGAGATGTCATTAGTCTAGGGGTTCACATACTTTTTCCACCTGCACTGTGAATGTTTACATGGTGTGTTCAATAAAAACATGGCAACATTTCATTCTTTGTGTGTTGTTAGTTTAAGAAGACTGTGATTGTCTATTGTTGTGACTTAGATGATCAGATCACATTTTATGACCAATTTGTGCAGAAATCCATATCATTCCAAAGGGTTCACATACTTTTTTCTTGCAACTGTATATCATTTGGCACTGGAGAAATTAAATTTGAAAACTTCAAGACATGGAAAGTTTTTTTTTTTTTTTTAGTCAAAAACAAATAACTGTACATAGGTATCTCTTAATAACACTACTTTTGTGTGTGTTGCAAACTTAGTATATGTCCCTAGGGTGCGTTCTACGCACATACACACAGCAGTTAGAATTTCAGTGGAGCACCATGGGTAGATTTAATGTACGACCAGCTCATTGTTGCTGTACTGGAGGAGGGATTTGGCAGGATATATATATATATATATATATATATATATATATATATATATATATATATATATATATATATATATATATATATATATATATATATATATATTCTTATTGTATTCCTCTGCAGCTGTGAGGCAGATCCCCACAAATATGTAATACATTGTAGATTTTTGGGGAACTAAAGCTGTGGGCACTTGATCAGACTTTTTTTTTTTTTTTTTTTCTGCCTTTTATATACTGTTGCTGTTGTCTGCATCTGCTGGTAATTTTTGGAACATTCAAAATGGACTGAGATGACGTTCAAGCAGTGTAGCAGCTATGCTAGCCGTCAATGATTTAAAAAAAAAAATAATATTTTTTTTATTTTTTTTTACTTTTCTGGTTTTAGAATAAACCGATTAAAAATGGAAAATATGGCCAAATGAAATGTAGGGTCTCTGAATGTCTGGCTGCTGCTTCCGATAGAATGGATAAAATCTGCATCTTTGGCCTTCCAACAACCTTTACACCAGCAGATGGTGGGCGTAAAGATGTCATTCATCATTTATTTACAATGGGCTTTATTTATTCTAGTGTCAACAGCTGCCCCAGGGAGCGGGTTATTGAATTCAAATGCGCAGCTCTGGGTTATTTGCTTCCTTTCAGGTTTGTCTTCAGAGCTCCGTTGCTAGGCGTCCTTTCTGTGTTCTAATAATGTTTCATGTATTGTGAAGCCATTCAGTAAATTGGGATGTCAGGGATTGCCAAAGAAGGTTTTTAGAGGCTTACTTGTTCCTAGAAAAAAATGTAACACTGCGTATGTGTCGATCCTTTTCATTATTACTGTGGTCATATTACACTCTTCCTGAAAAGCAAACAAATACCATTTCATACCACTTGAGGTTAAAATTTAGTGTGATCCCTGGTAGTTTCAAAAATAAAATTGTAAAGGTGCTATTAAAGGGAACGTCGGCTTTAATGCATACACCTTTCAAGAGATGGCATTCATACCAGCCTTTTCTCTTTGTAGAAATAAAAATGTGTTGTTTGGAGACTGAACACATTGAAAAATAACTACATTCACACACCTATTCACTGTATGCTGCAATTCTGCAAGGACCTGATAGTAAACATTTAGACCTAACTTGTAGCTGAATCTGAAAAACTGGAGGGGTGTATGATATATATTTCACACAGGGTTAAACATTTTTATTCTCCTGCTACTAGCCGTTAAGCAGTGAAAATGAAGTTTATTGTGAATGTGCCTGTAAAGATCCTTAGTGCTGCTTTGGATACTAACAATTAGGAATGGAGTTTAACCAGAAAATAGAATTTTGTCTTTTAAAGACATTTAATTTTGTTTCCCTCTGCAATTCGCGCGTAGCATACAAACTATTGTAAAACCATATATTTATATTAAGTAGAGCATGGACTGTCTCAGTTTCTTCTAGCCTGTCCATTCAACTATCATGCTGATCGCACATCTTGTCCATCATAAGGCATGCAAATAGGTTGCTTTCTATTTCTGTAAATATCTTTGGTAACAAGAAAATTGCGTCAATGGCTAATTGGTCTAATACAGTTGTACAGTTTTGGGAAATACAACCTACATGTAAAATGGATAGCTCTACATGTATATTGCAAAGTATAGAATTTGAGTCCATCTTGCAAATACCCATTTAGCACTGCTAGTTCTGCATTTACGGTAACGTTACCTGTACAACACACAGAGCGAGGCCAATATAATGCAAGTGAATCGCAAATGGGTTGTGTTGCTTGCCTTAGAAGTAACAGCCAAAACAATGTATTGACCATTTATCATATTTCTTTTTAATTAACCTGAGACCAGATGTAGAAAAATATTTCAGTGCAAAACAAGCTCTTTTCTGTTCCATAGTGCTAAATGGTGAGAAATATTGTATTGGTTTCTGAGGTTAAACGCTTTAGTTAGCCCTTTGCCTAACAATATCACCTGTTTACCTTTATGGATCTCCTCAGAAGTGTATTTATTAGTGGTGTTTCCTATGTTTGCTTTGGCCCAAGTGCTGTGAGCATGCAAGCTTGCCAAAGTTCAAGTAGATGTTCCTTTTAGGACAGAAAGAGATGGTCAACTCTTCTCAGGGAAACGGGAATGCCGTGTCTGTAGTAAAATGGATGCAAGTACCATAATTAGGAGATGTCCTCATCAATAATGACTGTTTTGGTCCCTGCACCGCTTTGTAATTCAGTAATCTTTTTTTTTAAATGATTTTGAAAACTAATGTAATCTGTATGTCTTGCTTGCTTTCTATAGGACAATGTTTTCAGCATTGCAGTTAAACAGTAATCAAATGGAATATTCTGAGATCTGTATATAAAACTGCCCCAGCCTTCAGTAACAGTTACCTCTTGTGTGGCATTATATTATTCTTTGTATTTATACATTTCCATCATCTTACAGATCCAGATTGTCTTTTTTATCTAAAATGTTTCTGGATTTACTATTCTCAGGTTTTTGCTTTGTGTTTTTTGTTTGTTTGTTTTTTAGGATTTAATTCATAAGATTAGTGAAGCTAGTATCATCAGGAAAAAACATGCCACACCAGCACGTTAACAAAGAGTTAGGAAAGCACATTCCAAAATGGCTTCTCAACTGTGCATGGCTCTTTGATGTTATCAGATCCATCCCTTAGTTGAATAAGCCTTTAGAAGCTGTATTGTGCTATTCTGAGGCATTCGTTTTGGCAAACTTACACCACCTGGAGGATCTTATTTCTGGACTTCAGCTGTTGAAAATTTGTTTTTAAAAGCAAAATGAAAAGCTATTTTGTTTAAGTTTAGTTTTGCATTTTTTGTCCAAGTGAAAAGTTGTAGTGCATTTCATTCCTTTAATTGCTAAACATATCACACATTGTTCTTACTTAAACTGAAAACTGACCAGGGAATTTCAAATTCTAGGATATAATACATTAAGTGGAAAAAATCTCCAGCTTTACCATTTTGGTCTAGTTTTAGTGAATAATCCTTACTGAATGAAATATTGCAGTGCTCAAACTTGTTGATGACTTAGTGTTTTTATCTCCCATAGGCTGGCCAGGAGTCCTTCCGCTCGATCACACGGTCATACTACAGAGGTGCTGCGGGGGCTTTATTAGTTTACGATATTACAAGGTAAGAGTTCTGAATTAAAGGACCAATAAACAATATGAAATAAATTCTTAGGATCAGTGAACAAATTATGTTGGCTTCACTACCCAGTGTTGTTGGGTTCTGTGCTTCATTTCACACAAACACTGCTTGAGTACACACTGCTTGCTACCCCTTACATCATTGGTTCAGGGAATGAACCTGCTGTCTGCACAATGTCTATCCAGTATGCATTTATTGGAAGAGAATAAGAAATACACTCCTTAATGAGAACCAAAATTATGCTTTTGTTCATCTAACTATGGGAATAGTGTAGGCTTGTCTGTTCCCAAAATTTATATTTTGCAGTCATGTGGCACAAAACAATAGATAATTTAGCCAGATCTGCTTATGATATGATGGCAGTTCAGGTCAGGCATTGCAGACAAGAAACAGAGGTTCTTAGGTTGCAATCTTTCACCGTCTTACAGCATACTGGCTGTTTTTGTTGCTATGTGAATCTTTGTCTCTATAATGTAAAACATGTTGATAGAGATTGCGTGGAGGGGCTGTAGGGTACTGAACCAAACACACTAACTGTGCAAATTATAAAACACAAGTGTTACTGTTATGGTTGCTTTAAAACAAAGTTAATAAAATATTCATCCATTCAATATCCTCTAGTTTTTGTACTGTTGTGACAAAACATGATATACTACGAGTCTTGATAAGGGTTCCATGATGAGGATTGAAATGTTGGCTGCTGTGCTGAAGGAATACTCCAAGCACCATGACCATTTCCTTGATTTGAGTAGTCATAGTGCCCGGCGTCTGTATGTGCAACATTTACACATGAAATGCTGCACATACAGAGATTAGTCTCTGTGCCTCAAGAGGTGTAACTCCACCTCTTGCTGCATCATTTGGCATTATTAATCTAGCCAGGTTGGCTGATGCCAATCCTGACACCTTTCCGTCCCCTCCATGCTGCCCATTTATTCCCCTCAGTCCTCCTTGACAGGGAGAACTTGGCTTCGATGCTGTTAAACAGTTTTGGCTTTCTTTATTTTTAGTGAGGAGGGGGGTCTCTACAGCAAGTGTTACTCTAAACAAAAAACAACTGTGTGTCAAAAAATTGGATTTGATTTTGTTTTTGTTTTTTGGGAGAAACTTTTACATGATTTGCCTTTTTGCCATTTGGCAGGTTATGACTCATTTTCATTTAAGGTAGCCTAGGCCACAGCAACTGAAGCAACAAAGATCAACTACTCAATAACCTTGTGTCTGTGAATTCTGAAAACTCTCATCCACACTCAAGAATTTAAAAAAAATAATTTTAAGTATTGGTTGAATAAAAACAAATCTTTATTTTTTTTTTCCTCTGTGTAGGAGAGACACATTCAATCATTTGACGACCTGGCTTGAAGATGCTCGCCAACACTCAAATTCAAATATGGTGATTATGCTAATTGCCAACAAGAGGTAAACAATTATGCTTGTTACTTAACTTATAGCTAGTCAGTGGAACCACATTAGGTTTTTGGTTCCTGAAAGTGAAAATTATTCAGTTTTCTTAAAATGTATTTTTCCATGCTTTTTACTATTCTCTTTACTTATCCTCACTATTTAACAAATATGTTTATAATAGGTCTGGAAAATATAATTATAATTAAATGTAGAAATCAACAAATCTATCCTGGAATTAAGCTCCTTTCACCTTGAAATATTTTTTTTTTTTTTTTTTTTTCTCATCATTTGCATTGTGTGACTGAATGTTTAAAGGAACACTTCAGGCACCAAAGCAACTTAATCTCAAAGTAGGTATGGTGCTTCTAGGACCTTGGGGCCATCCTTTAATATTAAGGTGTTTAACCATTCTTAAATCACAGTCTTCTCAATGGGAATCTAGTGATAAGCGGCGACTGTCAGCAGACAGAGAGGGACAGAGTGGATGGGCACTTTCTACACTTTTGGGTTAAACCTTTTGTCAACTGTTTAACCACTTAACATAAGGTAACACACAGGACCTCCAGGTGCCATAGCAATTTCATTGAGAAAAGGTTGACATGTTATGGGGGATATCCACAGTTTTTGTTCAGAATTTCCAGAAAAAAGACAATTCAGCTTTAAAGAGGCACTGCCATGGTTTTTTTTGTTTTCCTTATGCAACTTTAATTTTATAATCCTTGCCTTTATTTATATTTATTATCTTTTCTACCTTGCACCTAATCTCAATATCAGTTTTGTTCTCCTCTGTCCATAATAACTGCAATTTGCCATTCTGTGAACTTCTTATGATGGATTGTGGGTAAATTGGCGTAACAATTGAAATGGGACTGTAGGTGCTATAACCATTTCATCTCATTGAAATTGTTTATAGTGTATGGAGTTCCCTGGCACTGTCCCTCAATTTAAAAGACACTGAGAAGGAGGCGGGGCCAAAGAGGGTGTGTTTTGTCATCACTAATGACAAGCACGCCCCCTCTCAAAGTGAGCATGTTGGTTCAATGCACAGAGCCCTGCTGAAGAGCTCTAGCATGAGAAAAAGGCCCTGTATTCTGCGCAGCGCAAGCAAATTTAATAACATGCTTGCGCTGTGTTTGCTTTTAACTTGTCTCTGGTGTCTCCATAAGTGAGATACCAGAGGACGAAAGGACCAGGAAATCGTATGGTGCATTTAGAGCCTGCTTGTGGGATTGCGTGTATGGTAGAGTGAGCTGATTGTGGTGTGGTATTGTGTAAATAGGTCGATTTAATTAGTGTTTGTGGTGTAATATGTGTGGCTAGGTGCTGTAGAGAGTGTGTGTAATGGGGATGTAGCGTGTGTGTGTGTGTGTGTGTGTGTGTGTGTGTGTGTGTAGGGGTTGTAGAGAGTGTGTGTAATGGGGATGTAGCGAGTGTGTGTGTATATAGGTGACGTAGTGTGTGTGTAGGGGTTGTAGAGAGTGTGTGTTTAGACAGTGCTGTGTGTGTTTGCTTACAAGGAATGTAGTGTGTGCATAGGGGATACAGAGTTTGTATGTCAGGAATGTTGTGTGTGTAGGTGATCTAGTGTAAAGGACCCAGAGTATGTGTGTGTGTGTGTGTGTAGAGGATTCAGCGTGTATATAGGGTTAGGGATCTAGCGTGTATCTGGAGCGTAATGTGTGTAGTGGTGCAGTGTGAGGGGTGCTGTAGTGTGTGTGTTCTTATCTGCCATCACATTCTATGTTTCTAATTTTCTTTGTTAACTCACTGAGGGTTATTTCATATATTGTGTGTGTGTGTGGGTGCTGTGTGTGTGTGGGTGCTGTGTGTGTGTGGGTGCTGTGTGTGTGTGGGTGCTGTGTGTGTGTGGGTGCTGTGTGTGTGTGGGTGCTGTGTGTGGGGGCTGTGTGTGTGTGGGTGCTGTGTGTGTGTGGGTGCTGTGTGGGGTGGGGTGCTGTGTGTGGGTGTGGGTGCTGTGTGCGTGGGTGCGGTGTGTGGAGTGTGCTGTGTGTGGGTGTGTGTGTGGGAGGGTGCTGTGTGTGTGTGTGTGTGTGTGGGAGGGTGCTGTGTGTGTGTGTGTGTGGGAGGGTGCTGTGTGTGTGTGTGTGTGGGAGGGTGCTGTGTGTGTGTGTGTGTGTGAGGTGCTGTGTGTGTGTGTGTGTGGGAGGTGTGCTGTGTGTGTGTGTGTGGGAGGGTGCTGTGTGTGTGTGTGTGTGGGAGGGTGCTGTGTGTGTGTGTGTGGGAGGGTGCTGTGTGTGTGTGTGTGTGTGGTAGGGTGCTGTGTGTGTGTGCTGTGTGTGTGTGGGAGGTGCTTTGTGTGTGTGTGGGAGGTGCTTTGTGTGTGTGTGGGAGGGTGCTTTGTGTGTGTGAGGGTGCTGTGTGTGTGTGTGTGGGAGGGTGCTGTGGGAGGGTGCTGTGTGTGTGTGTGTGTGTGGAGGGTGCTGTGTGTGTGGGAGGGTGCTGTGTGTGTGTGGGAGAGGGTGCTGTGTGTGTGTGTGGGAGGGTGGGTGTGCTGTGTGGGAGGGTGCTGTGTGGGAGGTGCTGTGTGGGAGGGTGCTGTGTGGGAGGTGCTGTGTGCTGTGTGGTGTGTGTGTGCTGTGTGTGTGGGAGGGTGCTGTGTGTGTGTGTGTGGGAGGGTGGTGTGTGTGTGTGTGTGTGGGAGGGGTGGTGTGTGTGTGTGGGAGGGTGGTGTGTGTGTGTGGGAGGGTGGTGTGTGTGTGTGGTGTGTGTGTGTGTGTGGGAGGGTGGGTGTGTGTGTGTGGGAGGGTGGTGTGTGTGTGTGAGGGTGGTGTGTGTGTGGGGAGGGTGGTGTGTGTGTGTGTGCTGTGTGTGGGGAGGTGCTGTGTGTGGAGGGTGCTGTGTGTGGGAGGGTGCTGTGTGTGAGGTGCTGTGTGGGAGGGTGCTGTGTGGGAGGGTGCTGTGTGGGAGGGGTGCTGTGTGTGTGTGTGTGTGGGAGGGTGCTGTGTGTGTGTGTGTGTGGAGGGTGCTGTGTGTGTGTGTGGTGTGTGTGTGGTGTGTGTGGTGGGTGGTGTGTGTGTGTGGGGAGGGTGGTGTGTGTGTGTGGGAGGGAGTGAGGTGTGTGTGTGTGGGAGGGTGGGTGTGTGTGTGTGTGGAGGTGGTGTGTGTGTGTGTGTGTGGGGTGGTGTGTGTGGGGGAGGGTGCTGTGTGTGGGGGGAGGGTGCTGTGTGGGGAGGGTGCTGTGTGTGTGGTGTGTGTGGGGGGGGGTGCTGCGTTTGTGTGGGTGGGTGGGTGCTGCGTGGGTGGGGGTGCTGTTAGTGTGAGTGTAAAAATGTTTATTTAAATCTGTATTTTTTTGTATTAAAAAAAAAGTTATATCCCCCTTCCCTTCTTACCTTTAGCCGGGGGGGAGAGAGGGGGCTGGGCTGCCGTGGAGGATGGAGCCATGCTGCCTTCCCTTGTGGTCCTAGTGGTGAAAGTGAACTCTAGCAAGATCTGAGCTTTGCCACGCTCAGACCTTGTGAGAGGAACCGGCAGAGGTTTTTTTTAATGTAAGAACAATAAAGGTGTGGAAATCTCTGCCTGAAGAAGTGGTTTTATCAGAGTCCATACAGATGTTCTAACAGCAACTAGATGCATACTTGCAAAAACAGAATATTCAAGGATGTAATTTTTCAATGTAGGTCTTCTTGATCCAAGGATTAATCTGACTGCCATTCTCGGGTTAAGAGGATTTTTTTTCATAGTTTGTTGCAAAATTGGAAGTGCTTCAAACTAGGGAGGGGGTGCCTTCTTTTGGATCAACAGCAAAAAACAAATGTGAGGAAGGCTGAAATTGATGGATGCAAGTCTCTTTTCAGCTATGTAACTATTTTCATGTTATTTTTTGCCCAACATCCCATAATTGTAATTTCTTTATTATGTATCTTCTTCATTTCCTTTCAATAAAAAAGTGTAGCGCTATATACCTTTAACCCCTTAAGGACCGAGGACGGTTCAGGACCGTCATCGGCATTTTTGCGTTGCCGACCGATGACGGTCCTGAACCGTCCTAACGGTCAGAGCTACTTACCTGATCGCCGTCGTTCCCCCGGCGGCGATCAGCGTGGCTCCGGTTGTGGGGAGACTGCCTGCAGCCCAGGCAGTCTCCCCACGGCAGATTAGGACCCCTGTGGCCATGTGATCGCTTAACACAGCGATCACATGGTCACAATAGGTGTCCTAGTGTCTGCCTGCAGGGGGACTGTCTGTGCTGACAGGCAGTCTCCCTGCTAGTGTAAAATCAAAAAAAAAAATAAAGTTAATGTTAATAAAAAATAAATAAATAATTATATATGTGTATATATGATATATAGACATATATTATATCTATATAATATATGTCTATATATCATATATATAATGTCATACTAAGTGTATTTTATATTAATATGTACTTATATTAATATAAAAATACACTTATAATTAAATTACACACGTATATATATAATATATATAATAACTATATATATTGTATATATATATATATTATTATAAAATATAAATAATAAGTAATTTAAATTAAATAATTTTTTTTTTAAATAATAATAAAATTTTTAAAAAAATTATATAGCTATATGAAATTTTATTCTAACTGTATTTTGAAATTAATATATATATATCAAAATACACTTAGAATGAATTTGTATATATATCTATGTATATTAAAATAAATAAAAATAATAAGAAATATACATACGTCCATATACAAAATTACATAAATAATTATATAAATATACACATAGACTTCAAATATATAAATATGCATATATATTTAAATTCTACGTGCGTATTTATGTAATATTTTTACATAATTCAGTAATTTTATTGATTGCAATTTGAGGGACCTGCCTGCCAACCCAGGCCGAAATTCCAGAGAATTTAATTTGCTAGCACTGTATTTTACCCTGTAACGTTCTACGACACCCTAAAACCTGTACATGGGGGGTACTGTTTTACTCGGGAGACTTCGCTGAACACAAATATTAGTGATTCAAAACAGTAAAACATATCACAGCGATGATATTGTCAGTGAAAGTTACTTTTTTTGCATTTTTCACACACAAACAGCACTTTTACTGATGATATAATTGTTGTGATACGTTTTCCAGTTTTTAAACACTAATATTTGTGTTCAGCGATGTCTCCCGAGTAAAACAGTACCCCCCATGTACAGGTTTTATAGCATTTTTGAAAGTTACAAGGTCAAATAAATGGGTCAAATATTTTTACATTGAAAATGGCCAGGTTGGTTACGTTGCCTTTGAGAGCGTATGGTAGCCCAGGAATGAGAATTACCCCCATGATGGCATACCATTTGCAAAAGAAGACAACCCAAGGTATTGCAAATGGGGTATGTCCAGTCTTTTTTAGTAACCACTTGGTCACAAACACTGGCCAAAATTAGCGTTCAATTTAGTTTTTTTACTTTTTTCACACACAAACAAATATGAATGCTTACTTTGGCCAGTGTTTTCGACTAAGTGGCTACTAAAAAAGACTGGACATACCCCATATTGAATACCCTGGGTTGTCTACTTTAAAAAAAATATGTACATGTGGGGTGTTATTTAGAGATTTATGACAGATAATAGTGTTACAATGTCACTATTGATAAATTTTAAAAATGTATGTTTTGAAACCACAATATCCTACTTGTACCTATAGCCCTATAACATGCAAAAAAAAGCAAAAAAGCACGTAAACACTAGGTATTTTTAAACTCAGGACAAAATTTTGAATCTATTTAGCAGTTTTTTTCATTCGCTTTTGTAGATGAGTAAAAGATTTTTCAAGTAAAAGTCAAAAAACATGTATTTTTTCAATTTTTCATCAGATTTTTGTATTTTTTTTAAATTAAAATACATGAGATTATATAAATAATGGTATGTAAAGAAAGCCCCTTTTGTCCTGAAAAAAACAATATATAATTTGTATGGGAACAGTAAATGAGAAAGCGGAAAATTACAGCCAAACACAAACACCACAAAAGTGTAAAAATATGCCTGGTCGCAAATGTACAACATCGCAAAAACAGTCCAGTCCTTAAGGGGTTAAAGTGCAACAAGTATACAGATCTGTGTTTTGAAGCAATACTTGAATGTGTTACTTAAAGGGATTCTTAAGTGCCAGGAAAACAAACCAGTTTTCCTGTCACTAGAGGATCCTGGAGTGCCTCTCTACCACCCCCCATCCAAAGTCGCTAAAGGGGTTAAAATCCCATCAGCCACTTACCTGAATCCAGCGCCGATGTCCCTCGGCCCTGGGTAAGGCGCCGTCCACAAAATGGCCCCGCACGCACATAACCCCTCCCCATAGAAAAAAGCATTGTTCAATGCTTTCCCATGGGCATTCCGTCGACGCTGGAGGTTCCTTAATGCATAGCATGAGGACGTTCAGCATCGTTTAGACGACCAAAAGTAGTCTAAGAACCCGGAAATCCATCTAGTGGCTGTCTGGTAGACAGCCACTAGATGAGGACTTAACCCTGCAAGGTAAATATTGCAGTTTATATACTGAAGTGGTCTGGGTGCCGCCTACAGTGTCCCTTTAACTGGCTTTGAAAATTTGTGGTAAACCAACAAGTATACCTTAAACAGAAAAATAGTAGACAATAGTGTAAAACCTTATTATATATTTTAATGTGCAAAATCTTATATGGAACATTCACATGGTCCAGAGCTAATCCACCTAGCTCTGGTGTGTATAGCTTTTAGGTCAGTTTGGGTGACCTCTCCCTTATTATTTTCATGGATCCATTTATCCAGTGATGTATCTCAGAGTGAAAAGAAAATTTGGAAATAGTGTAATATTGCTTTAAGAGAGAAACTTATGAGTAGTTATAGTTGTACTCTCAAACATGGAGCCTAAATACTGTCTCAGTAGTATTGTAGTTTTGTATGGTTGAGTAACACACCACCTTATTTATAAGTGCAGGGACTCCAGTAATGGTATTAAGAAAGTATTACTTTGTTATATTTATAAAAACAACAAAGATAGTGCAATATGAAAAAATATACCAATATTATAAAGTCTTTTATCCTCCAGAAACATGTTTCACCATTCGTTGGCTTCCTCAGTCCTGTACAACAGACTTCCTGGTTCCTGCTCTCGTTTTTATATGCCTCCTTCTAATTTTCATTACTTATAGCTGATCCCTTTGTGTTCCAAGCCTCATTCTGATTCTCGCTTCGACGTGACCTCCTCTGCTTGTTAGGTCGCATCATATCCGGTTCTCAGCAATTTATTTATATTTATTTCCTTACATAATCCTTATTGTTAGATGGCCCTAATCTCAATAAACACAAAAAGGTAAATTACACCAAGTACTAACAAATGTCAGAGAACCACCAATGCATCTTTTTGTACAAACTTCTAAAGTGACCATCACTTCAAGACCAATTCGTTTTATTAGAGAATTCTATTGGTTTGGAAATGTTGATGTCAGAGATACTCGTGGAATGCAGGTTTATTCTTTGTGGTATTTAGTTTGAATGCCTGTTACTAGCTAAAGAAACGTGGAGATATTTCAAAACATGCCAATGATTTAAGTAATCTTTGTTTGCAAGAAACCTCTACATTAGGTAAGACCCAATCATTAAATTTTTGTCCGCAATTCTAAAATATAGTTTATATTGTCCCAATTAATTCTGCTGTACAGTGCTAAAACCATAGCAGATAGAGTAGCTTTTGAACCATACCCTCACGTTTGCAGTGTTCATCCATATAAAAAGCCAAAGAGAAATTCACCTCATGATTTAAAATAAAATGGAAGAAGTTTGTTTGTTTTTTCCTGAGCATACCGTTCTTTTTAAAATATATATGCATTTATCTTACAGTGATTTAGAATCAAGGAGGGAAGTAAAAAAGGAAGAGGGGGAAGCATTTGCTAGGGAACATGGTCTCGTGTTCATGGAAACTTCGGCAAAAACAGCTTCCAACGTGGAGGAGGTAAAACACTTTGTTATTAAGCTATATGACTTTCATAGATAGATACAATGTGTCACTAGTTAATTTGCAGGACATGTGCGGAGATATTTTACTTTCAATGATTTACACGTACAATCTATGAATCCTAAAATTATACTACTAGCCAACAAAAATCCACATTCTATTGTCTAACATGTATTTTAAACCAATATGCAGAAATGCAATACTTGTCTATGGAACTTCAAACAGGTGCGGTAAAATCCTAAAACAAAACTTTAGTTCTAAAAGATCTGATGTACATTTAGGTAGTCCTTGTTATACACTTTATACATTTGTTACCAGTAATCTTGGATCCGACGGTGAGTGAAATGCCAATTGTTCCCTCACAAATCTCTGCACTGCCAGTCTACTGTATTTTAACTTACGCCAACATCTGGGGATCTTAAATTGCCAAGGCCTGCAGTCGTATACAAATTATATTTTAAGGACTGCAGTGATTGACTTATTTTTCTGTGCACCTAAAAATACATTTTCTGATTTCTTCAGTACCCTTATATGCCAATGTATTTTCTGATCACAGCTTCAGAGTCTCAGGATCTGTTTAATGCAACATCCTGACAGACTGTTATATCCTTGCCCTTGAGTTCTTTATGGAGGACACAGGCTATAGTTCCTTATCAATCTTGAGGTTATTAGTTTGAGTTAAACAAGCTTTCTTGCAGTTTTGATAGACACCACATGACCTCTTTGACATGTACTTTATCAAATAAATTATATACATAATCAATATACTTCAGCAAAATCCTATTGATGGTCCTAGTGTTACATTTAATCTTCATCTTGTCACTTTGCTACACTTTCTAGTTCTTTTGATATATTGACTGGATGCACCCAGTCACAAGTAATGATCACAATTACCTCATAACCAAGTACAATTAGTGTCTTATCGCCTGATATGATAACGAGTTAGAATTGTAACCCTGTCTCATGTATGGCTTACATGGGTGTTGCTGCTTAGAAGACACCATCAGATGAGATGAGGAAAGGTTCAACTTGAGAGAAGAAATATTGAAAACAAAATGTGAACAAAATAAAACCAAACCAAATTAAAATAAATAAAACTAATATCCTCTTTATTGGTAATGGGAATTTTTAGAGTTTGTAAAGGAATTCATTGTGAGCATGCTTTTAATGTTCGTAGATAACAGAACAAAAATTTTGTGCGATAATAGTTTGCCTCAATGTTACTGTGCTGTGTGTGAGGCTAACCAGGTTATTTACAAAAGTGAGAACTGAAAGTGAATTTCAAATTTAAGGCCAGGATACCGGAAATGAAAGCATTGCTGATGGTGAATTGTTCTAGATTAGCTATTTTGACTTTAGATTTGAAATTCATATTAAATGCTCACGTTGGTGAATACCCCTGTTTGTCAGGTTATACAGCAAGCATCCAATCTTTTTGTTTTTGCACTTTTACATGATTGTTACTTGTGCATATGTTTGTTTTCCCCCTAATCATTCTGTTCCTTTGATTACTATTAAATGTTAATAATGTAATATATAGAATATAGTATTTGAAGAATTATTGACCAAAATGGCATAAAAATTATGGCATTAATTTTTAGTTGCAATTTAACCGCTGCATATTATATTCATTACACTCGTGGATTTTGGAGCTATCCCAAAATATGAAAACCAGACTCCTGTGTCGCTTCTAACATGCTTCCTTATTGCCTCTGAGTGTTGAAAACCTGCTGTGACTATTATTATACACCCAACTACCTTCATAGCTAACCTTAACTGAATCATCTTAACAGTATCTGCTTTAAATAAAAAAAAACCTTACACACAAACAGTGTAGGTGTTTGATTTGGAGCTCCCATTAGTCTGAATTGTGTGTGTATAAATGTGCGTTTCGTTCACAATACTCCTTTAGTGCTGCCATAGTTTGTTTTTGTTTTTTGGGGGTGGAGGAGGATTAGATGATTACTGTAAATGTTTTTCCTAGACCCACAGACTATTTGCACCTTAACAATTACTGTGGGTTATAGTGGTTATGATGCTTTAAAGGGACACTGTAGGCTAGAAATTATATATTTTTTTAATGCATGAAACGTTAAGTTAAAAATAATAAAAAGATGCATTTTAAGTCTGTATATATCCATCAAAACGCCATGGTGTGCAGAATTTGTAATGAGCTTTCACCAAGCCAAGAACTGACTGATTCATGCAGTACTTTCTATATCCGGGATAGGCAACATGCAGCACTCCAGATGTTGTGGACTACGTCTACCTTAATGCTCCTACTGCCAAAATGCTGACAAATCATCCAGGAGATGTAGTCAACAACATCTGAATTGTGGAATGTTGCCTATCTCTGTTCTTCTAGGCCACTGGTTTTATGGTCTAACCAATGGTTCCTAGGTGTTGTAGTTACATTTTCATCTGCTCCTGAAGAAAGCGAACAGCTGAAGTACAAATCCTAAAAATAAAAAAAATATTCAAGACCTCATGTACAGCAAAAAGGTAATATTACAGGGTGGAAGGAAGGAGAAGTAAGGGTGAATTTATGGAGCAATATATATAAGTGCTAATTAATATTTTCAAAAAGTTAAGATTGAGAAAATGAAGCATCTAATGTAATTCACCTATTGCACTAAGAACGCATTGGTGTGTGTGCCTCTTTAAGCCAATCCCTGCCCAGCCAACAGGACTAGAACCCCTCGTTCCCACCCAGCCCCCAAGATTACAGCCTCTCCTCTATCCAACCCCAGAAGATTAGAGGGTTGCAGCCTCTCTTCCTGCCCAGCCCACATGTTTCAGCTGCTCCCACAGTATAGCTGCTTACTACATTCTTGACATTATATTAACAAGTGTTTATTTCAAAGTTCACATTGTAAATCTTTGTAACTTTGAAGCCATTTAGCATGGATGGTATATTGTGCAAGACAAAATATGAATTTAGATATTTTAAAATTAGAAAAAAATAATTAACAAAACCAACCCTTAATTGCAAGTGGCATTCAATTAATTAGCTACTCAGAAACTTTACGCTTCCTTACCTTTTAATTTTTTTTCCTCCTTTTTCTACAAGGGAGGCTTGGGAAGGAATGTAGAAAGTCAGCCAGCTTAGCAGGATCCCCCATCAACATGACAGCTGAAGATTAATTAGCAGCTCAGCAATAATGGAGATACATCCTCTCTCCCATCCTAAGCTTTGGATAGCAGATTTATCACAAAACGACAAGACACAGGAGGTCCTTTCTAAAAAGATTACTACCCTAGCAATACTATACCACTCAAATATAAAATATGTCTCTATGGAGAATTTAAGACACTGATACTCCAGCCAGTTTATGTTTGTATTAAAGGGTCACTCCAAGCATGTTACCCACTGTAGTAGTTATACCAGAAGTACCCTGGCCCAGTTCCCCTGTAGGAGCAAATATTTGAGAATGCAGTGTAGCTCCTAAAATCAGCTAAATGTAATAAAGTTGCACAGACAGGAGTGATCCAAAGGTCTTAAATTGCTTTAAAAAAAGGTTTGCTGTTTTACATCTGGGAGTCTATCTTTTGGTCACCCTTGTAGTAGTTCAAACATTTAAATGGACATTCCAGGCACCCAGTCCACTTCTGCCCATTGGAGTGGTCTGGGTGCCAGCTCCCACCACCCTTAACCCTGCAAGTGTAATTATTGCAGGTTTTTATAAACTGCAATATCTACCTTGCAGGGTTAAGTCCTCCTCTAGTGGCTGTCTACCAGACAGTTGCTACCAGACAGCCAGACAGTCTACCAGACAGCCACTAGAGGGACTTCCGTGTTCTTAGACCTCAAAGTGTTTTAAACAATGCTGGACATGCTCACGCTATGCATGAGGACCTCCAGCGTCGTGGGAATCCCCATAAAAAAAGCATTGAGGAGTGTGGGCGGAGGCTGACCCAGCACCAAGGGACATCGGCGCTGGTTTCAGTCACTGAAGGAGTTTTAACCCATTCTGCAACATGGGGTGGAGGGGAGAGGGGTACTGCATGGCCCTGCAGTGCCAGGAAAACGGATATGTTTTCCTGGTATTGGAGAGTCCCTTTCAAGGACCACTATAGGCACCCAGATCACTTCAGCTCAATTAAGTGGTCTGGGTGCCAGGTCCATCTAGGGTTAACCCTGCCTGCTGTAAACATAGCAGTTTTACATATGGGTTAATCCAGCCTCTAGTGGCTGTCTCATTGACAGCTGCTAGAGGCGCTTCCGTGCTTCTCACTGTGATTTTCACAGTGAGAAGATGCTGCCGTCCATAGGAAAGCATTTAGAATGCTTTCCTATGGACTGACTGCGCGCGCATGTGCATTCAGCTGAAGAGGGAGGAGAGTCCCCAGCGCTAAGGGAGCCTGGCGCTGGAGAAAGGTAAGTGTTTAACCCCTTCCTCCCCTTAGAGCCCGGAGTGGGACCCTGAGGGTGGGGGGGACCTAAAGACCATATAGTGGTCCTTTAACTGGGAAGTTTATGAAACGTATTTAGCACACATGTAATTTAAAATCCATTCTTCCCTGTACACTGTCTTTCTTGACTTGTTTGATCATAATGCACACTTTTTTTATATATATATATAAGTCTTAAACTTTAGGAGAATGAATAATAATTTTGTCTTGCTCATAACCATTGTTAAGAAAATTGATGGTCACTTTATATAAATAGTACCTTCTGTGCAGCCCTGCATTGTATATGGACATTTTTTTAATTGTAGGACAACCAGTGCATCACAAGTTCAACACAGTCTTGTAGAAGAAGAATTTAGTGATACAAAGTAAAACCATGTTAAAATACATGCTGTGGGAACACATTGTTAGAGTGTGTATCTCAGAAACTGTTGCAATATTCCATAACAACATTCTAGCACTACCTACTGCATGGTAGACTTATATGATACATACAACCTTTTGTCTGGGGATTCCTATGAGACACTCTTAGCAATACAATAATTGGCTATCTTTTTTATCTTTTTAAATACGGTTCCAATATGCATGATATTTAAAAGGTCTATGCCAAGTATTTACTGACCTTTCTTACTGATTTTTCTTCCCAAAATGCCTACACTTCTGCTGTATCCTCGTTGATGTAGTTTGGTGCTAATAGAAACTCTGAAGAAAAACTTGATAATTAAACTATCACATTGTGAAATGTGTGCCTCTGTCACAAGAGAGAGCCTATTGTTCTGAGGTACATTACAGTTGTCTCTATAACCTTTTCTCTCTGATTAATATGTTAAACGAAAAGGAGCACTTTGACAATTGACCTAGAAAAATTGGATCTTAATAAAGCGTCCCTCCTGAGAAGTAAAGACCTGAACTAAGAGTTGATTTGAAGAGATTGCATTCTGATAATGCTGTTTAAAGTCTTGGTATGCCCCTTCATATAATACGTACAGCCTTTAATCTGGTATTTATGGTCACAGTTTCAGAAATGTAAATGCCCCCAAACTCTAATTTAGAAAATATGTAGTGTACACGTCTTGCAAATGTCATTTATAAAATTAAAATTTTAAAGGGGGAAATCAATACACAAAGGAAAGCTATGGGGTAAAAATACCCATCTGTTTTTTTTTGTTTTTGTTTTTTTTTTAATGCATTAAAAAGATACTTTACTTTTTTTTTTTTTTTTAAATTTGAATAGCAAAAAAAAGATTAACTCGCCTTTAAAAGTTTCCGTTCTTTTAGTGGCTCTAAATGTTGGTGGTGATTATCAGTGGAGAAAACACTCAATGGATAACACTACACAGGTAAATCCCGGAAAGATCAATTCTTTCGGACATAACTTAAAAGGAATTTGATTCGTTCATGCCAGTGTAAACGCATTTGTGCACAAATCTTGACAATGCTACATATAAATAATGACAGTGCTATGTTTCCATTTTTCCACAAGGTGGCAGTATGATACACTAAAGCAGGATTGTGTCTGTCCAGTTGAAGAGTCCTGGACAAAGTCCTATTTAAAAAAAAAAAAACTGGGTTTTATATGCATTGCATTAACCTATAGGGGGAAAAAATTATAAAATATGAAATAAAAAAACACATTTGAAGGTTCTACATTTCTGGCAAAAAAACATAGACTGTGCAGATTTTTCTTTGGGCTTGCACTTTCAATAACATTGCTCAGCTTCGTGCTTGACAAATTTGCTTGGAATCTAGGAGACAGCAAAAAAAGTTAGGAGTCAGGTTTTTCAATGTCAAAAACACCATTCTTAAAGGGACACTGAAGTCACCAGAACCAGTACAGCTTAATGTAGTTGTTTTTGTGTCTATAATCTGTCCCTGCACACTTTTCAATGTAAACCCTGCTTTTTCAGGGAAAAGGCAGTATTTACATTGCTGCCTTGTAAAACTTCTAGAGACAGTCACTCAGACGGCCTCTGGAGTGTATCCTGGGTCACTGCTGCTGCGTATAGCATCTCCACGCCCTGCATCAACGCATCTCTGAGGAGATGCTTATTGGCGCAGCATGGTGTTTTGCCACATGTGCAATAGCCTCCCAATGCTTTCCTGTGGTAAAGCATTGGATTGGCTTAGATCATCAAGATTGATGATCGCAGTCATGGAGGCAGGGCCAACTACGGCAAGATCAGTACATTGTGGGGGGGGGGAAAGGTGAGTAAAAACCCCTTTCCCATGTGATTGGAAGGCGACAGTCATCTACACACACACTCACTTACTGGCTTGCACTCACATTTATGTGATTACCCTGCCTCCCTACCTGGGTTCAGCTTTCCCTGTGGTCCAGTGGGGCTTCAGTCATCTCCCTGCACTGTTTAGTGATGCTGGGGCCGTAATGAAGTCATATTCCGGCTCCCGCATGACTGAATGGTGCGCAAGGGAGCAGAGCAGGGAGGTTGTTACAGCTCACTCACACACCTGCCAGTCTTCCTCAAACCTCCAGGAGCCTCCTGCCCCTGTGCACGCCAACACTCTCACTCACAAGGCTGCCAGTCTGCCCACACTCTTCCTGAGCTAGCCGACCACCCACATGCACGCCCATGCTCTTTATTAGCCTGCCGGCCGCCCGCCTCCACTCATAGACAGCTGGCCACCCCGGGGGCTGCGTAGGTGTGTGTATATATATATATATATATATATATATATATATATATAAAAAAAACCCTTTTGGTAACGTGTTTACCTGATCTTTCCTCAGAAGAGTAAACTCATAGAGAACAAAGACACAAGCTGATTAAGTAAACATTTAATCTGACAAAAAAATTCACAGTGCTGTGTAAAAAAATACAGAAATAAATGACATTGCAAAGCAGTCCATAAAATGGGAGAAAACAAATCACAAGAAATTCCTTACATATATTTACCGCTTATATAAAATTATTGTGGGAGATTCAAATGTTACAGGTCTCCAAGTAGTTGTTGAAAAAAGAAAATCACCCACAGAAAATCGACATCCTCAATATATACCTAAAACTAGTTGTTTCTAAGTGGGCAGACCCAAGGGTGTACCTAGAGCATTTGGCAACCGGGGCGGATCATGTGTTTGGCTTCCTTCTCCGTCTTTATAAAATGTAAAAAAAACACCCACGTATTTTTTTAATGTATTCAATAATATTTAAACTTCTGCACCCACCCTTCACAAAACCCTGTACCCCCTTACATAAAATTCATACATCACGCACCCTTCACATAAAAACCTTGCACCCCCCTTCTATAAATAAATATAACCACCTTCACAAATAAAACCCTGCAAACCCTTCCATAAATAACCCCCCTTCACATATAAAACCTTGCAAACCCTTCCTTAAATACACCCCATTCACAAATTAAACCCTGCAAACCTTTTCATAAATATACCCCCTTCACAAATAAAACCCTGCACTCCTCTTAAATTAATAAATACACCCCCACCCACCCCACATAAAATTCATATATTCCCCTCTCCCTTTACATAAAATCCCTGCTGCACCCCTTACATTGTGTACTCACAATTATAGATGACTCTGTGCCCGGTGGAGAATGCTGCTCTCTGCTCCGGCCTCATTAATAACTGCATTGCCACCTTCATGAGAGAGTGGTCCTTCCGCTACTGGAGTTCCGTGAATGCGCATAGGTGCTGCCCGTCGGCATGATGTAGCGTGCTTCAACATATCACTGCCTTAGTATAGTGCTGGACGGCTGCAGACCGCACTATAACAATAGATGGGGGTAAGTAGACACTGGCAGTCATGGCCCCCCTCCCTTCCCGTGAGTGGCACCCAGGGCGAACCGCCCATCTCCCACTCCTCCCTTAGTATGCGACTGGGCAAACCCCTGGGTGGATCAAAAAGGTTTGGCCTGGCCGTTTATTGCCCACTCCATATTTTTCAATTATGTTGTCCTTTGCAGAACCCAAAGTCAGAGCACATGCACCAATACCTTTTATGATGCCCTATGTCCAGCTCTGGTGGTGGTTATCTAGTAGTTTTATGGCTTAGGCCTGGTGTAAGATCAAAACCTACAATAAATGGTATCCCAACATTTACAAAAACAACTCATAACATATATCAAAGGCCAACTCATGCTTTTGCAGGACAGGCATATTATAACATTAAGTTGCTTTCACTGAATTTATAACATTACACCTGTAATAAATTATTCATTATACTCTAATACATTTGGGATGGTGTGTCCTATGAGCAGATGCACATACACGGTATGTGCTGCTCCTTGTTTTGAGTCTTGTGATTTTTAAAAGCAGTTGCTGGTAGTGAAATCTTTGGCATGTCCATGATAAAACCTGTAGAGGCATGCTTAACAGCTCTATTTCAAAAAGTTGATGTAATACGGCATTTTCACCAATATAATTTGGGATAATTTCTAAGTATGAATGCATTTTGGCACTTGTCACTCCTGTTTACTATTCCTGTAATAATGAAGTTGCTAGTAATCTTGCTGTAGACTGTATAGCCTCCTCTAACCATGTATGCTGAAACTAGTCTCGTCAACAATTTGTATTTTCATTAATTTTCCTTATCTCCTTGTATTGCTTAATTACATTCATTGCAAGCTACTGTAAATGTAACATTTGAAGTGTATTTAATAAATCAAGTTTGTTCTTCTATTAACACCTAGAATGGAGTGATGTATGCAACATAATAACGTTTAATGGATACTATCGTGCCAGGAATATAAGCTAACACTATTGATATCTCTCCTATTACATCCATGGCCAAGCATTTTATAAAAAAAATAAAAAATTAATTTATCATGCACAGTACTGAATATTGTACTAATGATCCAAAGAATAAACAATCTTGTCAACTGAACAGTACGGTATAATGTTTAATTGTATTTCTATATTTGACCATTAAAAAGAGGTATGATGGTTCATTCACTGTTCTTGTGTTATATGTACAGTAATGAAGAGTATGTAGTAGGATCATGCCTGTAGATTAGAATTGTGTGGTTTAGCTGTACACTAGATTTTTAGGTATTTCTCCAGGAATTGAAGACATTTTTGGATACTTGCAGACGAAGAGCTAATTTAACCCCTTAAGGACACATGACATGTGTAACATGTCATGACTCCCTTTTATTCCTGAAGTTTGGTCCTTAAGGGAATAAATTGGGTGTTATTCTAATTTACTGCATTATTCCAGTTAGATGGGAAGGTTTGTGGTTAATTCCGTAGTTCTCTGAACCAATAAACACCTTCTTTGCTGGCCTCTGAGATTATGGAGCACAGAGTGGTTATTAACTCATAAACTACACACATTTAATTCCCAATGCAATTATGGGCAGAATTGCACCTTATGAAATATGGGTAATGTCGACACGAGGGTGACAATCTAGCAATCCTTGGACGATGTAGAGCCTGAGTTTCCTGCTTTCATAGCACATTTAGACGTGTGTTTTCTCCTCCGGTCCTTTTTTTTTTTTTTTCTCTACTCCTCTCTCCTTCCTTTCTTCTCCATGTGGTTCTGTGTGGGTTAATCTTTGTACTTCCTGTCTGTTTGGCTAATGAAAATAAATAATACTGTTTGGTCTTTCTGTTAGGGCAGAAGCTAAACATATCCTGTTTGTACAATTGGCTTTCATAAAGCATCTCATTATTTCCAGTCACGTTCTGTGCTGTGATTTATATTATGTAGTAACACCAGTAGCAGAGTTACACAAAGCTGTGCAATACCCTTCTAGACAGAGCTCACAATCCCTGCTCCGTACCTGAGGCACAGTATATGTTGGGTCCATATAGCGCCCATGTATCTATAAACCCCTTGTGTACCAGAAAAGAGCAAAGCTAACTCTTTAACAAAATTGCTGGAAAAAACACACATGATCCTAATGTGTTGCATTATAATTTTTGCTTGACCATTAACTCAGAATGCCAAAATGGTGTACATTCTGTATGATGGCTTCCATAGATGGAAAATAACCTTTAGCTTTAAAATCATGCTTGAAAATCTGTGAAAGGCAGCCATCTTGAATAATTATTTCAATAATTGCTTGATTATTCCTCCCGTCTGTTATTCATCGCCATGTTCAGGACTGCAAACTAATTAATTCGTTTTTCGGTGCCACTAGGGTCACAGAACTCTGCTCTGCTGATGTAAAATGGTCCCTAACTAGTCGGCTAAATATATCTAAATCTATTACACTGAGAGGGGGAGGGTAATAAGTTATGAGCTGTTTAATTGAAAGTGCAAAGGTATATTATTACCATGTAACTCTTATTTTAAGAAGTTTTTTAGTGAAATTAAAATTGTTTCTAGAACGAACTGTGAACTTTAATGCTTGTGAAGAATTTCTTTTCATTTATAGTGAAGTATACATTCTAATAAATTATTAGTAATGTCTGCTTCATCCAAATATGGATCACAGTGTTAAGGGTGAGTGTCAGCTGATGCTGTGAGTTTGTCAATGCTGTCCATATTAGGACAAAGTAGACATTTCTAATGTGGAAATGTAATTTCCATGGGGGGTGGGAAGGACCTGTAAATGGTCAGTTCTTTAAGAGAAATGTTTTGCTCAGCCAAAATGTCAATAACCTCCAGCCTGGACAACATTTATGGGTTGAGAGAGTTTGGCACATACTCCTAATTGATGCTTTGGAGGTTATGTCACTGCTTTAGCCTTAAAATATCACATAAAGTGTGCACGGTATTAGAACTTTAATTGACTTTTAGATTCTTAACATTTAAACTTAACATCCTCCCCTCCCTCGTGACTTAATTGCCCACCTAAATTTCCATGTTTGATTAACACATTTACTTTTGCTTATATCCTTCTGTGTACACATTGTTCTTGGAAAGGATTGATAACACAGTAGTTGAATACAGCAGGTGCATTTGTGTTTGTAACTTTTTTTTTTTTATGAACTGTCATAATTACCACAATTGTCTTTTTAACATCCGTGCACTTTTCACTTGATGTGCATGTTCTTTAATGATTCCACATACCGTTAAATGTTAAGAATAGCTGGGCAGTTTCCACGCCCTGGCCGTGTTAGCCTCCAGCCGTTTTTCATTTACCAGTTTGGTGTTCTTTCTACCTGTGCCAAAATGTGCAATACATAACAAATTGGGCTTTTAGGAGCCAAGAGTAGAAAATAGGCAGAAACATGAAACCAGACATAGCTCGTGGAAACATATATTTTTGTAATTTAACTTGATGCGCGTTGAAAGACTGAATGTATAGCGTGGAACAGTAGGGGAATAGGAAGGTATGTTAGAGTAAGTGGTGCATGTGATTTTAAACATCTGGGGCTGTGGACCTACTGCTGCAATGGGATTCATCTGTTACTTGTTCTCCAACAAAGCTGGTTTGTTTAAACTGGCGACAACATAATGTGGTCTAAAAACCATTTTCATGTAATTTTTGATGTCAGTCATTCTAAATTGGAATTGTCTGATGTTTATTTGTGGGTAATTGCGGCTAAACGGTATATTGCTCTAAAGTTACAGTAATCCTTTCTTGGCAGTGTCACACTTACAGTAGAAGATTTGTAGGTCCATAAATCAGCATATAATTTCTCTTGACCTAAAATAAACGGAGCCCTTAGACTTAATTTAACTGATTTCCCCTGTAATGAAACAAGGGAGGGAGGAAGTGCAGGGAAAGCTAGAATGCTTTCCTCCATGTGCCAGTTGTTAAGTGCTTGTTTACATGAAGTTATCATAACACATTTTCAGGATTTCATGGCTCTGTTTAATGTTTTAGTTAATGTGAAAAACTGAACACCCCATAAGGATCGCAGCTGGTTGGATTTATGCAGCTTTTGACCGCCGTTTTCAATTAGCATGGTTTGTTAGGCCATTGCGATAATTGGTATGTTAATCGCAAGCGCATTTTTTACCCCCCATCCCCACCCCCCATCCCTCTTATTTTTAAAATTAAAAACTTCCATTTCTGAGGATTGTGAATCAGTTCACAACTGGCACTGAGCCAGGTTTTCCTCAACCCAGCAGCACGCTTGGAAAAATGCACTCGCTTCTCTTAAGTGCTCGGCGAATCTGTGATGATTAATTCCACTCATTATTTTGCTGCAAATTCTCCTGACCTCACCATGATGATTCGATCACCCACTTAGAGCACATGCATATTCATACTGCCCTGCTAAGGCTGCACCCAGCCTCCATCCCCGTATTTAGCTGCGGCCTGAGCCTGGTGCAGTAATTGAGCTGCAGTAGATTGATTGCTCTGGGGAGCTGTAAGGCCTTTAAAGGTGAAAACATATCAGTCCTGTTAATTAGGAAACAAAGCTCTGGTGGCAAGTTCAACAGTCAAACTCTTCCATTGTCGAAATGAGGAGAACAGTGATGGGTTTCCCATCATGAACCTTGTTTACTTTTTAGATGTGATTTAGCTCCTTCTTCTTCACACACATTGACTGATATTTCTATCACATGTTTATGGTACAAGAGTGTTATGGAAAAAATATATATATTTTTTTCAAATTAACATGATTAAATTATGAATAATTTTGTGTGTATGACGTGCAGGCTAAAACCTGGGGGTTCACAAAATTTGTAATGTTTCCCTGTAGTTTTGTGTTGATGTTTTGAGGTACATAAATAATGTTATATGTAACAGTGTGCTTGCTCTGAATAATTTAAAATTAAAAAAATTTACGAATTTTCAGAAACTGTAACCTGGGTGTTAGCTAGACTTGTTAACATATTTGGCACAGGGTGCTAAGAGTGCGTGGAAATTAAATGTGTCTCTTTATTAGCAGGCTTACCTGTTAATTGTAATTATATTATAGATGCATTGTCTAATGTTTCTGCTGCCGATAATAGCGGTATGTGTGACTTAGCACGTGTTTCATCACCCAAAAGCATTTTTTCATTTAACTCAAAATATATAAAGTTGTGTGTGTTTCAATGGATACTTGCGAAAAATACTGTGGTTAAAAAAAACCCTCTTCCTAAACAAATCCCGAAATGACTAGTTCAGTATTGGTGGCTACTTAGTCAAGAGCCCAAACTGCAAAGCAGTTACTCCAGCAATGTGAAAAGGATCAGTCTTTTTAATAGATTAAATGGTATGACAATTGACTGTCAGCGTTTGTGGGTGATCAGTCAGAGATAATTTGCATTTCCCCCAGCTGACCTGAATTATAAATAGAAAAGGGCTATCTGGCCTATATTCTAGTCCGGTTAACGTTTATATTCCGTTATTAAACTTCTTTAAAAGTTGCTAATGGAGAGTGAGTGCATATTGCTAACTCATTGGCTTCAAAATTACTGTGAACTAGTGCCCCCGTGTAAGTAGTGAAACCATTTAACAGTTTGACTTCTTACCAGGGCACTTCTCTCTGCAGCCGTAGGCTCTCTTCACAAAGCTAAGCCTGGCTTAGCCTAGGAGAGATAACGGAAGCTCGTTCTAGGAGCATCTGGCTGCAGAGAGGCTGGAAGCGGCACCTGGCACACCCCAGTTAAGAAATCAAACTGTTTACAAAAGGTTTGACTACTTATATTGGGGGAAGGCGCAAGGTCACTCCTAGCACCATAGCCATTACAGTGCACTGTAGTGTTTATGGTGCTTGGAATGTTTCTTTAACTCTTTCCCCGACAGGAAAAAAAAGTCTTGAGTCTTTTTATTCTGGGAAGGGGCACAGTGGGAGTAGGTGGTTTTGTTTTTCTTATTGTATTTTTGTACTTTTTCTATAGGTAGAGAGCTGGCATATAGACAAAATCTAGGGCAGGTTTATAGACCTAAAATAATTAGCTGTTTTGTCATCCAAAGGAGAAGGAATGGTTAAACTGTTACATCAGGAAAGTAATATGTATACTGGGTATAATTATTCATGGCACAGGGTGACATTTGAAATCACTTGTTTTTTTGTTTTGTTTTTTGTCTTTGCTTACCTAGTCAGAATGCCCAGCCATTATTTTATAAGCCTCTTACAGTGAGTTAGCCAATAAGGATATCAGTCTCCTTTTAGCTCTGTATCTCTGTGGCTAACACAAGACCAATCTTAACTTGTGTATATTACAAAATAATACATTACTGTGAGTGTTATTGCTGTGGAGCTCTGTTATACACTCAGACTCAACAATAATATGGAGCTCCTAGAAAAATAAAATAGAAAAGAGGGACAGGGATTTGGGCCCTGAATAGGTATACTTGGAGGCATGTGCCTGTATTTCATATTTACATCAGTGAGAGAGGCAGTAATTTACTGTTGCAATGAATAGAAGGAGCCTATTTAGTATCGCATAAATTGATATGTGAAAGTTCCTCTGACCAGAATTGTCTAGATGCTTCACGTTGAAAATATAAAGCCTTCATGGTGAGATATATGCCATACAACTAACTGGGTAAATTTACACCCTATGTCACAAACGGCTGTTTGAATGCTTTTCGTTTCATATATGATTGTGTAATTACTCTACATTTTTCCTATTGAACTGTGAGCTCTATCATCATGTTGGGCATTTTTAAATAAGCTTTAATGTGGCCTTGTCATTTTATTTATTCATTCTACTCATGCATGGGTACATTTGATTGGCTAACCAAATCTGAAATGCAAGCTCTGCCCTTTTTGTCGATGTGACTGCCATACACAATGTAAAATAGTCGCTGTATGTTATGAAACTCAAGATTTCAGGAAACAAAATGTAGTCAGACACAGCAAGTTATATAGAAACAGACTAGATAGCATGTATGTTTAGTGACAGAGGCGCTTTAAGTATTGTGGCACTTTACCTGCATGTGATATAGTTCCAAATGACTACCAGCATTTTAAAAATGTTATAATGATGTAAAAAAAAAAAGGGGGTGCCTAAAGGTAGATCCCCAGATATTTTAATATTACACCTTCTATAATGCTAAAGGCATGCAAAGCATTATGGGAGTTGTAGTTCTACATCATCTGGGGATCTACCTTCTTGGGCACCCCGATCTTAAACATCTGCACAAATCCTCTACAATTACATATATTGTGTCCCTTCCATTTTGTACTCTGAAGGATTCTGGGTTAATACCCAGGAAAATGCATTGCGGACTATGCTTCCTAAAGTAGTTTGTTATACATACACCAACATTCACATCATGATATTGCAGAAATGTACATTTTATGAGGACATTGTTCTATATAAAGTGTAAATAAACTGGAAATTTAATTTAATATAGTTATGGAAATGCACTGATGTCATTATACAGCAGCCATAAAATTGATTTTTCCGTTTTATCTTAAAAGTATTTAGTGACAACAGAAATAGTGACTCATGCTTTCTGGCTTTGTCTTGTAACAGGTGTGGATTTGGGGGAATATGGATGATAATAAGCATGCTTGAGTTTCAATTTTTATTTTAAATATATTTTCAGCTAGATGGCGCTATACTCAATGCAAAGTAACCATTAAAAGTGTCATCTTCCCCCTCATTCTCTCTGCTCAAGCATAGCATCTCTAGTGTCTACTGTCCAATGTTACTAAGGTCACTATTAATATTTAATGGCTCTGCTGTGGCAGCAGTCAGCTCGTAAAAGTGTGCCTACTATCTGTTACTGTGGTGACTTCATAGCTGTAATTTTACCATTGGTTCACAGAGCTGCCTTCTGACAATCCAGGAAGATTTTTTTGACTTTAGAATCAATGCTACAAAATCTGCTTTAACTCATTCCTGGTCATAATCTGTTCATGGGAAAGCGTATGCTGTTAACACACCACCACAAAAGAATAATCCTACATATTCCTACACGTCAGGGTTTCTTCAGTGCAGTCCCACTCAGTATATTGACATTTAATCTGCGCATGCATATATTATGCAGAGTATATCGTTTGTATATTCCGCATTCTATATATATGTGTGTATTATAATATGCATTCTATAATTGTTAAAACATTTTATATAGCTTTGTATAAAAGAAACCCTGGTAAATATCCGATAAATATTTAGTTTTTTTGAATATTAATAAATAATATAGGTTTTGTTTTATTTCCTTTAATTGTGCGCTGATGTGAAACTATACATTTTAGGTCTGTGCATTTGCAAATTAAACCTGTGGGAATAGTCATTCTGATTTTATAGCATATCTGCTAGGAGAGGTGTGTTTTTATTTTTATATCCTATTGTTGTAAACGGTAAACAGTGTGATATTAATTATAAAGGATAGATAGGATTTTACAGAGCTTACCAGTTAGTAGCTCTCCAGCTGGTAACTGGAGTTGTGCAGCTGTGGATTTTTCCAGCTGGTCAGACCTGCCGTGTAGCAATGGAACTAGCCGTTATGTCTCAGTACACACAGCCTCTCACATATCACCGTGGCCGAGAACCCATCATACCTTCTTATAGACTAGAGAGCCCAAACCCCGCACTGTTTGTGCCGCTGCAAAAAATGAATCATGACAAAACCACACTTGTTTCGTGCCTTGTAAATTGCAAAGCTAATTATTTAAAAAGGAGGTGCCATGCTACCACCCTTGTTATGCTTGTAATATTAAATGTCTTTTCACATAGTGCAGCTGATTTAATCCTCTTTGTTTTTACAGGCCTTTATAAATACAGCAAAAGAAATCTATGAAAAAATTCAAGAAGGCGTATTTGACATCAACAACGAGGTACTGTTTACATGTGTGGTCTCAAGATTTTCTTCTTAGTCTACTCTTTTGTTTTAATTACTCATTGAAGTTTTTACTATTTGCAGCCAGTCATGAAAATATAGAAGCAACATCACTCTAACAAAAACCAGTCCATTTCTTTATTTCCCTTTTTTTAGGAACAGTTGATAATTGTCATTTCCAGTACTCGGAGCTTTGTTAGTTATAGCTCGTATATAGCTGTCACAGCTATTGTCACACTTTCCCCTAAAGATGACAACAAATTTTGCGCTTTGTAAAACCATGATGCTTTGTTATTCCCTTGGTGAAATTAAGCTGAATTTGGTGAAATGTTGGTGAAATTTAGGACCATACACATGCTTGCAAAGTTATGTATCTATATCAACCAGTTAAGTAGTTTAAGTACGTCCTCTGTTATCAGAATCAATTTTTGTACTTCAGTTACTGTCTCGACATGACCTTTTTGAGTGCTCATAGCTTATAAGTTGGGGACATCCTTAAAATACTAGTTGGGCAGCCAGAAGAGTGGGCCTACAGTTAATAGTCTCCTGAAATTCAAATTCTAGCGGTCTGTTTAGTTTCCAGTTAATGGATGTCAGTGGGTGCAAAAAACGGTGCGCGCAAAAGTTACCCCATGTATGCAGTTCACTCATAGTTTTAGTGTGCAACATCAACAGGCTATTCATATGACTGTATCAATAGCTGCTGATCAGTAAGCACTGAATATTATTGGTGCACATCACTAACAAACTGTGAAAAAGGTATAGAACGATATCAGATTAAAATCTTAGCATAATAGAGAAGTTGGTAGCTGTGCCAGTACATGAGAATGACCACAGGGAGGTAGAGTGGAGGCAGCCTCCTATTCCGTGTCCATGATGCTTCAGGGGGTTAAGGGTTGCAGATATTGGCAGAGCATTGTGGGAAAACTCCAGCAGCCCTGCAGCTGCTTACACTACATGTGGCCTGTGAGTAAATGGAGGACTTAAATTTCAAGCACTAGTTGTTCCTAAAGCACAGATCTAGCAAGGGTCGCCACCTGGCTCAGTTCTGACTAGCACAGGATTTGTTTCTCTTTTGTCTTCTTTTTCTTTAAGACAAGGTTGACTGCTGGTTTTGGATCATTAACAGTTTGCAGTCTGCCCAAATACATCCCACCCCACCCCCGCCAGGCTTTGCTGTTCCTAGTTAGATCTTTGAAGTTTTCCTTAATCTGCCCATACCTATTCTTTAGACAGTCGCTAGGCATTTGTTTTAAAATAGGTTGTGCTGTGGAGGAGTTTAAAGTTTAACCATTGCCAGAAAGTAGTTCTGTTTGGAGATTCTTCCATATCATCCTCTTTATTACTCTGAACATTCTCCAAGCTTCTCTGCTGCAATAATTAAATACAGTTCTGCAAAGTGTTCTGTTTTTGTTCTCATGAATTTCATTTGGGCTTCTGCAAAAAAAAGTAATTTTTATTTTTTTAATTTTTTTTAAATGCAATGGGAGGTGTTTTTGCACAACACTGGGGTTCTGCTTTTTTGGGCACCCCTGCTTGTAGGGAGTTTTTCCCTGGATTGAAAACTAAATTTCAGAAACACTAGCAGATTTGGAAATATTCAAACTCCAATATAGTCACAGTTTGGTTAGTTTAGTTTACTGTTTTGTTAATCAGTTCACTAACATTCAGTGTTTAGTGAATACACTAAAGATTTTATTTACTGCGATATTTAATACAGACATATTTGGCTTAAAGGGACACTATAGTCACCAAAACAACCTTAGCTAATTGAAGCAGTTTTGGTGTATAGAGCTTGCCTCTGCAGTCTCACTGCCTAATTTCTTGTCCATGCAGCACTATCAATACCTCAACTGACTGTGACTGACACAGCTAGCATAAAAAAGGTTACATTTTCAGTCAGCTGTTAACTTATTTTAGATGTTTTTATTTCCTGTCCTGTAAAGTGAATTTTTATCAGACAGGAGGCTCCTGCATTTTCTAGATTAGAAGGCTATTCTCAAAGCAGAAGATAAATTCTAAATAAACAGAATGTACAATAAATAAAGTTTCAACATTAAATCTCTCTTTACAGGATCTGTTTTAAAAGACTGTGTTCGTCACATGCAGGGAGGTGTGCTAGGGCTGCATACACAGTGATTTCACTCCTGAATGGAGTGATTGATCAGTGAGACTGCAGCGGCATGATCGATCTACTAAAACTGCTTAATTAAACTAGAGTTGTTTTGGTGCCTATAGTGTCCTGTGAAGTAGATGGAGCAAGTAATAGAGCAACATTATTTGACCTTTTGAGTTCCACAAGGGTGAATGACAATCTGCAAAATATCATATAGAATGAATGCTGACACACAACATAACCTAAATTTTTCTTTTCCAAAACCATTTTTATTGTGAATGCATGGTACACGAATATAACACGAGTGACATTATCATGTATGCTTTTAAGCTGTTATTCGGTAAGTTACATTCACTATTTTGCGGTTTTCTCAACATAAACAAAACAGAAAAAACAAGCAAACAAGAGTTAACTTATCTCGGATTTAACCCTCTGACTCCCATATGATTTGCTTAAATCCCTTTGCAACATGTCTGCTAATGTAATAATCCTTTATATTTAACATTTATTACCCCAGTAAACACTGACTTCAGTATGGCTTAACTTGTTACCGACTTTAAATATAGTCTACACACAAGTGCCGCTACAACGTGGTATGTGTGCATTACTTAAATATCCTTCAATGGTCCCCCTCACTTGTTAGCATTCTCCTTTATGATGCACTGCACTTCCTATCCTGGTCTTATCAGGCACACTCAGTGCTGCGTGCCCATGATTAACAAAAACACAGGCTGGAGATGTACCTCATCTTCTCTCCTTTATTACACTGTGCCCCACTCTTAGTATGTTTTGCCCTGCTTTCTGGCTGACCACACCTCCATTATCTTTCCTGTGTCTCCGCTATTATCTCATTCTCTTTGTCTTGCTGAGGGAGAGTGGATATGACCCATTGGGGGAGGGGAGATAATCCATTATTCTAAGCCACCAGCGCGTAAATGAAAAAGCTATTGGAAAGTTAGGCAGGTTGTAGTTCGTTTGTTGCAGAAGTTTCTTGTTTCTGCGCAGCCTATTACAGCACCTGACTGCTTTGCAGTCTGGATCTCTGATTGCAGTCCGCTGTGAAAGCCAGCCGTCTGTGCTACTTGCTTGGCTTCAAGCCAAGTCTGGCTCTTGAAGTTCTTAAGGAGTTGCTACCAGCTGAGCGGGGGCAAAACCAATGGGCCATAGGGCATGCTTTTTATTAAAGGGAAGTCAAAGAAAGCACAGAAACCACATCAGCTGTTGTCAATACCGAGCAACTGCCAGAAACCCCAAGGCTACTACAGTTGCAGAGCAACTGCCAAGCACTATAAATCTGAGATTTACTGTGACGCAAAGTTTCCTTAAGAGCTTAATTTCTGAAAGCTACTGTATTACTTCCCTCCTCCCCCCTCTAAAGTGCTGTGTTCTTAGGTGAAATCCACTTGAGGGAGCGAGCGTTAAGATATAAGTGTGATCTTGATGAATGAAAGGAGCTGCTCTGTGTGTGGGTTCTTGGCAGCCTGCCATATCTTTGGGGATCATAGAAATTATTGATGACACAGAACACTTGTGTGCATCTACTCTCAACAGCTGACTCAACATGGAAAAGAAAAATGCAGTCTGGAGAGAGAAAAGTTGAAGGAGTTTTCTGGGTTTCCCATTTTAGATTTGTTTAGGCTGCTGGAAGAGCTTTTCGTCTCTGCCGGCCAGAGGCAGAGAGGAGTGGTTTCCTTACTTTAACCCGATGTGGTCGAGAAGGCTGGGAGACAGACTGCTGTATGAACCACAAAGTGTTAACAGATTACAACCCATTCGTAGTCATAACCAGATAAAGTAAAGCTGCAGTTAGAAATCTGTAGATGCAAAAAAAGTGAATTGTTTAGGGTGCATTTTGTCAAAAAATTTATTTTTAACCTCATGGTTTATACATTGTGCAATACATATTCATCTGTTCATTCCAATAACCCTTTTTTTTGGGGGGGGGGGATGATAAATGAATCTGAAGAACATTTTGCAAAAGACCAGCTATTGTCACAAATAAAATAACTTTATACAATTTTATATTTATTTTTATATATATAATTTTTTTAATAGCAATACAATTAGAAAATGTTGATAAATTATTATCTTGAATGAGGAGAACACAGAATAAGCTGTACACATAACAGATTCCGAGCTTTAGAAACATTCCTTAGAACTTTGTGATGTAACTATACATATATGGTATAGCGTTATATATGTACGTGATAGTGAGCAGATAGAGGATACTGTGAAGGACATTAGGCAGACAAGGCAGAACTGCCCAGAAGGGCATACAATCTGTGCCCTTGTAATATACTGTTGGCTGCATTATAGATAGTTCTGGTTTTGGATAAGGTTATATTGTATTGACACATACATTAATTACACACATGCAAAACTGGAAATATGTTGCTGGCCTTGTCATATATTCAAAAATTCCATAAGAATTGTTTTTTGTTTATTTTTTCTTCTATTTCATTCAATTTTTTTTTGTGAAAAGAATGATGGTGTCTACAAACTTTTCAAATTTAGTCAAATTGATGCAGAAATTATATATTTTTTTTTTATATATAAACAATGTCCTATAAAACTCAAGAACTGCCTCCCTCAAACTAGTCTAATTTTTAAGGTTGAGTAAATCAGTAAGGAAGGAGGTTGGGCACACACACAAATTGGTTTACGCTTTGTTTCTCTCTCTTTATACATGTATGTGTGTGTATATGTGTGTAGAAATCTGATAGACCGCAACAGCTTGGTTAGCCAAATGCCCTCTCCTCGGCTTAAATTGTTTGAGTTTTTGGAAATTACATTCTACAGTATTTCAAAACTCTTACAGAGAGGGCAGTTAAATTACAACTCTCAGAAACACTGGGCACAATTATGGTCTTCAGAATGACATATTATTCTTGGTGCAGCTTATTGCAGAAACTGCAACGACGGGCATTTGCAGTAAATACCTAAACATCAAATGTGAATATCTTGTTTATTATTTTGAATATTTGGGTTTGCATATGCTACACAATATCATTAAAGGCTTGTGAATCCCTTTAACAATATAGTCAATTATTATAAAATGAAATAAGTGTGATTATTTGGTGGATTTGTCATATATTATTGTTCTCTATTTTAGGCAAATGGCATTAAAATCGGACCACAACACTCAACACCTGGATCACCCGGTTCGCATCTTGGTGGACAACAGGCGGGTGGAGGTTGCTGTTGAACCATTTTTCCTTCCGAAGAGCCTAAATAGGCCATTTATTGTCCATAGGCCATTTACTTCTTTTACCTTCTCTTTCCATTCCCTGTATCCTCCCCATCCCCTTCCAGTTTCGATGTTCACTTTAAAAAAAACAAAAAAAAAAAAAAAACGAAAGAGACATATTTTGGAAATTGTATTCATACTGTAACTATTTGCTTTTTGATTTCTAAGTTTATTGATTGTGATTGTTATTAAATGTCGTCTTGTTCCCTTGACTAAAAACTGAATTGTATTAACACTAACCGTTTTCGGAGTATTTTAATTAGTTTGTGTAGGTAGGATTCAGAGCTTTTGTGGTGACCTGTCCAAGGGCACACATCATTAAAAAAAAAAAAATGAAGGAAAAAAGGGTTTTTCTGTCATCATATTTATAAATTGTAGGATTACAAGCTATTTTCTGATCATGTTCTACCTTTCTACTCTGACATCACCCTATCACAGGAATAGCCAAACAATAGCTCTCCAGCTGTTACTACAATGAGCATCATTAACAGCCATCCAAAAGCTATTACAACTTTTAGGCCAGTGATCGCTAAGCTTGGCACCCCAGATAATGGATATTTCATTTCTAGCTCAAACACTCCATATCTGGAAGACCCAGGAATGTAGTTCACAAATGGCTACAGTGCCACGGTTTATATCACTGGTACAAGCTTTGCTCCTATTTACTAAGGTCAGTTAAACGCACACAGTAATATAACCATTAACTGAGCATTTTGCCCGTTTGATAGTATTTCTCTTCTTACAGCAAACTCTTACCCTCTTCTGAGCTTGACATTATAGCAGTCATAGGGGAGAGCAATCATGTCACGATTCAGTTCTTAGGCCATTTTCTTCTTTCTTATTGCAGTATCACCATACCTGGCTGAAGTTTTTACTGCACATTCTCTACTTGTTGAAAGTGAAAGGGGCAGTCTATACACGGCAATTTCTAATGTGCCGTAGGAGATATTGTGATATATAATGAAAACATCTGTAAATAGCAAAGAAATTGGTGTTATTAAATAAAGCTTATGGTACCGTATATACTCATGTGTAACGTGCACTTTTTCTATAATGAAAATACATTTAAAAATTTCCAATGCACAATCCTGACATGAATGAAATGAGACAAACATAAAGCAAGTTATATCTGTAATGAAACTGGTTCTGATTTTTCCTGTATTATGTTATATCATTTTTGTAAGTGTGATGTGCAAGATATCGTTATAAGAGACTTTTGTTCCTTTGGTATTAAACCAAACCTATGTGTTTCTTAAATATGTTTGGTCTCTTCATCTAGCTAGATCTACCACTATGGGTAAAGAATCCACATTTCATAAATTATATCCAATCTTTGTCTACATAGGGTTCTTAATGTTAATAAATAGCCTAGTTTATCATTAATGTTTTTAATTGAACAGATTAATTGAAAGTTTTTCAGTTATGGTGGATAAACAGCTCTGGTTTTTTTTACGGTTATAATTTCTATTCATTAAAATGAATTTTTAGTTATCCCCAGTAGGAGATATGGTATCTGTGATTTTAGACATGTTTTTTTATTTTGGGGGGGGATGGGGGAGGGGAGTTCTCCTCTCTTCATACCACATTATAATAAATACGACATGTCTTGTGTACATACTGATATTAATCAGAATATTATTTTTTTTTGATGGTTTGGATAACTGCCCACAAATGAGAGGATGGTTATGTGGCAGGATAAAGCCTGTGTTGTAATGCTGCTCTGTTTATTGGCCAGTATTCATAACAATGGTTTTGAAAGTGCACAGGTTGCAAACAATTAAGTCAATGCCGTTTTTGTTACAGAATGTTAGGATCACACGGCGTATGGAATCATTTTTTTATTTAAATTTTTTAAACTTGCATTTGATGGATTCATCTTTACTTATATTTAGAATGTTAGTTCTTACCGTAGACCCGTGAGAAGTCCTCCTGTGTGTATGGACGTGCAAGTGCGCTCGTTGAAGGAAAAAACGTGTTTATATTTGCAGTTTTCTCACATTATCCAGATGTAAAGCATCTGATATTTCCTCAAAGTACATGCTAAAGTTATTAAGGAATTATCACATTTTTCATCAGGCTTCCTTCTGTATCACAATGCGAAAGCTTGAAACCGTGTGTTTACCTGATACAAAGCAACAGCTAATGTCAGGACATGATCTATTGTGAGCAAAGTTTGCAACTTACAAAATCTTGGTCACCCTCATTTTACATGTCATTAAATAATTTGGTGAAGTGAAATATCTCGTTTGTGCTTTCTATGTCCTTTTATTGATGTACATATTAAATCTGCCCAAATAACTATACAAGCCTGTCATGGGTAAATACGGTAGCATCCCTTTTAACACCTGCATGACAGATAAAATGCCAGGACCATCATGATCTGAAGGGATTTTGCCCACGCCTTGCATGAAAGATCCATAGTTTTTCCTAATGTTTTGTGGTGGTTTGTTTAAAAAATGTTTTTATCTTATTCTTTGTTTTTTAATTCTCTATGTATTGTTTTGTTGTTTAATTTTGCACTTTCCAATAATGTGTCTATCATTTACTCCATGTATATATAGTAGAATATGCTTTGGTATATTTTCAATTAAAAATAAGTTTTTTTGGGAATTTACAGCAAAACTATAGCTTTAAAGCATCACTTTAGGCACACTTTATCCAGTTGAATTGGTTGTGGTGCCTGGAGTCCCCTGGCACTGTCCCTGCCCCTGCATTCAGTGTTCATCTATTCAGAAGTGGGTTGAGGGTCCTTGCACAGCCACAGCTTGGCCCTGAATGGTGGTATGGCTAATGACTGTGATAGCCTTAATGCAGTCAGCTGACAGTCTCCAGAAGAATGGGTTGCCAGGGTCTGTCGTTTAGCGTTAAACCATTCAAAACTGTTTAACACTGAACGGTAGAACAGCATCAGGGGACTCGACACTGTAACCACTTCAGTGAGACTAGTAGTGCCTAGAGTGTCCTTTCATATTGCTTCTGTATTGAAATTAAAGCATATTTAAACTATTGGCATGTTCATCCCCCAAAATAATAAATGTCTGATGTACTTTAACAGAACATGTGTACTTGTTTAATTCGGTATGTGCCAATGGCTTGGGGAAACTAGCTTGTAGGAGAGCAAAATAAATATTAATCTGTGTAAGTATAAGTAATTTCTGCAAGCAACATCCTGTATACATATTGAAAATTATATATATATATATATATATTTTTTTTTTTGGCACACATTCACTTATTCATTGAGATCTGTGTTGAGGTAGACTTTAATTCATTTGTCAATATATGATGTCAATGTAAAAATCAATAAATAAAAACAATTTTCTTAATATTGTACACTATATCTCTTAACAATTTCAATTATTTATGTAACCTTTATTAAAAAGTTTCACCATTCATAGTTTTCGTAAATATCAATCGTATATTAAACCCTGCATCACCCTGAAAGATACAGACTTGAACACTGAATGGGGGCAGAAGGCTGTGTGCTATTAAGCTATAGAACAAAGATTTGGCCACTCTACAATTTAGCAGTGATACTCTGAAATTGTCATTGCTTTCATTAGTTTGACCATCTATTGAGTTTAGAAGGAAACAGACATAGTTAATTTGAGAATTTGTTGAGAATTCACGAGTTGCGCATATTAGGTCGCAATAGCCAAATCGGAAACATTCTAAATGCTGTGTTTTCCGTTAAGGTATGTTAGGTATAATACACTTAGAATTCTTGGAAATTAACACTTAAGTGGACATCCCTGTCACCAGTTTCGTGTATATATAAATCAGGCGTCCTCAAACTCCGGCCCCCCAGATGTTGCTGAACTACAACTCCAATGATTCTCTGGCTATCTATGTAATTCAAAGAATCATGGGAGTTGTAGTTCAGCAACATCTGGGGGGGCGGAGTTTGAGGACCCCTGATATAGATCATAGGTGCCCAAATGGTAGATCCCCAGATGTTGTAGAACAAGCACTCCAATGATGCTTTCTATGCTTTTAGAATGACAAAGCATCATGGAAGCTGTAGTCATCTGGGGATCTACCTTTTGGGCACCTTTGCTATAGATGTTCAGGTGCAGTCTGCAGTACTCTTGCCAATTAATCATCTTTTCTATAAGACTAATGGTAATTTTTTTTTGAGTCCACACACAACCTTCTGCAAAAGTAATGCAGCCGATAATAAAATTGCAGATTCTTGCTGTCTCCAAGCCAATTCAAGTATAACATGATATTCCCTACCTGTCTCCTGATTCTACTGAACTAAAGTGTTTGCCATGGGCTTGTATTTTTAGTTATCTGATGATCTCATGGCTCATCAGGTGCAACATTTACACAGATTTCTAGGATTTTTATCAAAAGTGCTACCTTTCCCTGTTTTTATTTTTTATTTCCTTACAGGCTAGTGAAGTAGCTTGGTAAAAAATATGTGCTGAAATTTTATAATTGAAGCTTGAAACAAAAATGTAAATTCAGCCATAGTCACAACATGACTATTTCTGCCTCCGTTTTGCCATTTAGATTTGATTCAAATAAATTCTGAGTTTAGTGAAAAAAATATGTAAGTTGGGTGGGAGGTTCTCAAAACGTTTAGAGGCAGTGATTTCCATCAATATTTGATATTACTGTGCTATAGATGTTTGTAGTGACTATTTACAAGACTATTGGGTTTGTATAAAAAGGGACTTGAGTTTGCACCTACAAATTGCTTTGCATAGAGTGGCCACTGGTAACTTCACTGGATTGGTCACTGAGCATGTTGATCAGTGTTGTCATCTTTGCATGCTTCAAAAGAGGTTTTGCTACTGGGGAAGTGGGATGATTTTGCAATATCAATATTTTATTGTACTCCACTCATTCCTATTATATTTTAGCGGTTTCTGGCTTCTTAAAAGTTGTAATTTGTGGACCTGCAGGAGACTCATAGGAGTTGGAAACTTGCTTAGATGTAGAACCCTACGTCTTCCTCAACAGTAGACTTTTTCTCTATGCTACTTTCCTCTTCAGTCTGCTAACCATCTGTACATAGCATCTGTTTAAAAAGGTTCTGCTCATCCTGCATTTAAAGAATTTGAGCAGAGCAAACTGTTGCAGGAGGTGTATGTTCTAAACACGGCTGTCAAGGTTTGGCCATAGAAAGTATAGGACTATTTAATTACAGGTACCTGCTGTAAAAACATACAACATAGATATCTTTTCAATTACATTAAAAAAAAAAAAAAAAACTTAAGAAGAAATGGTTTAAAATTCGATCGCGACTAAGGGTAAATGTGACTTTACAGAATGGGCGGTAGATGACTCAACGGCTTCACACTTCTCAAATTCAAGAATCCCTGGAATTTGCATTAAGCTATCCTACAAAATAAACAAGCAAAATCAGTGTGTTTTATAATGGGTCAGGTTAGATAAACCAATTGATTATCTGCCTTTATAAGCAATAAAATGCATTTTATTATGTGAACGTTTCCCTAGCTATTCCAACCCATTCCAGGTGCATAGTTTTCAAAGTACAAAGTACAATTTTTTTATTTTGTTTTGCCATTCACGTGTGCATGCCCAAAGTTGACAAGATATAATTCTGTAGGAGTCTCCCTGTAGGCCAGTGTGATGAAAGCTAACAGTAAGGTTTACACCAGGAAAATGAAGTGTTTCACTGAAATGTGGGTGGTTAGCACCTTTCATACACCAACCACCATGGCACTCCCAAAGAGTTTTTAAATAAAAACCACAATAGTGTGTACTGTTTACAATCATATAGAACACTTGCAATAAGGCAAAATATTGTTTTGTGTAATATGTAAAATATATTTAATCTTAAACGGTCTGTACGTGTGCAAATATTATATAATCAATATAAGAAAGTTCTAATAACGAAAAAGTTAAAGGACCACTATAGTCACCCAGACCACTTCAGCTCAATAAAGTGGTCTGGGTGCCGGGTCCCCCAGGTTTTAACCCTTCAGATGTAAACATAGCAGTTTCAGAGAAACTGCACTGTTTACATTGCAGGGTTAATCCAGCGTCTAGTGACTGTCTTCCTGACAGCCGCTAGAGGCGTTTCCCCGATGCTCAATGCGAGAATCGCATTGAGCACGCAGAACGTCCATAGGAAAGCATTGAGAAATGCTTTCCTACGGGTGTTTTTAATGCGCGCGCGCGCGGCTCTGGCCACGCATGTGCATTCGGCTCCACTCGGGAGCTGACGTCGGTGGGGGAGGAGAGGTCACTGGTGCTGGATAAAGGTAAGTGGCTGAAGAAGTTTTAACCCCTTCAGCCCAGCGGGAAGGGGGGTCTGAGGGTGGGGGACTCTAAGGATTATATAGTGTCAGTAAAACGGGTTTGTTTTCCTGACACTATAGTCCTTTAAATAAAGTGGCTAACATATAGTAAGTGTATCATCTAAACCGTGATTTACTAACTATATTGCACTCAAAACAATGATCGGTAAATCACAATATATCCGTGTATCAGTTTGTAATATATAGAGATAAAATATGTTTTTATTTTACAAACTGCTACACTAAAGATATTATGATTTCCCTATTTGAGTGCAATTTAGTTAATAAATCACTATTTATATACTCACTATACCTTTGGTACTTTTTCATGAATTAGCACTTTCATATATTAGTTGCATAATAATAAATGGATATGTATTGCACATGTAGACCTTTTGTGAGATTAAAAAGAAATGTTTTACTATTGCAAATGTTATGAATGTAAGCAGTACACAAAAATATACCCAACTGATAATCTGTAGTGTCAATGGATGCCCAGTCCTAATGACACTATAAAAAATATCCCAGACCTCCTGCTAATATGTAAGATTTGGAGAATTTCCATCCCCCAAATATTGGCTTGATAAGCAGAGGTGGGCAAAGTTAGAAAAAACCCTGCAACGACTCAAAATAAATGTGTTAATACACAATGGCTGGTTCATCATGACCTCACAGTGCTACTGTTTAGATATTTATACTGCTTGCTGTACTGCAGGCTAATCATTATGGCTGTTATAACTCCACAAAAGCAAGGGATCTACATTTTGACCACACAGTACTTAGGTTAAGGTACATGTAAAGGAAATACATGTATCTATGCCCATACATATTAAGAGCCCTACATGTTGAAGGAACACACCAAGCACAATAGCCTATACAGCTGGCTGTAGTGGTTATTATGCCCCTATAGTGATGTCGCGAACTTCCCGCGAACGGCTCGCCACGTACCGTTCGCGGCGAGCTCCGGTCAGCTGACACATCCCGGCCAATCTCCAGCAGACCCTCCCACCTCCTGGACAGCATCCATGTTGAAGTTCGCGACATCTCTATGCCCCTATTGTAAGTAAACCGTTTTTGAACAGTCTGACTTCTTACATGGCGTCCACCATACTCCAGTAAGTTCCTAAGCGCCAAACACACTCAGCCTAAGGAAAGTCACTACTTAGGAACTTTCAGCTTTCAGCATTGGTAGTGGAGATGGTGAGTGACAGCTGGTCGACCCCAAATAAGAAGTGAAAGTGTACCAAAACAATGGGTAGGGGGGTGTCACTTCTGAACATTTCAAAATATATAATAGTGTCAACAGGAGTTTTCAGATATCAAAAGATATCATAAGATAAAGTAGGGTCTACTTTATTGTATGGATAAGCCTGAGATTGACAAAAGGCACAAGAATACAGCACTGGTGCAGTTCCTGTAGAAGAAGGTGGCAGTGGTTGCAAAGCAGATCTTCAAATGACCTATTTTATATGGCAACCAAAAGCCACCGGATGGTCTACGCAAAGTATTTAAAGACCCTCAAAAGTGACCTATCCATTTTAGAGGCCAAAGTTAGCATTTTTATTAGTTTTTTTGCATTTCTTTAAACTGCACTTTTACTGGTGATTTCATCGTCGTGATAAGTTATACTGTTTTAAACACTCATATTTGTGTTTAGCGAAATCTCCCGAGTATGACAATACCCCGCATATACAGATTTTATGGTGTTTTGGAAAGTTACAGGGTCAATATAGGGCTTGCCTATTTCAGTTTGCCAGATTGGAATGCTGGATCTATGTTGCCTTTTGAGACCATATGGTAGCCCAGGAATGTGAATTAATCGCTGCTAAATCTCGCGGCCATTACTCTATCCTAATTCTCCTTGATCTTTCTGCTGCCTTTGACACTGTTGATCATCAACAGCTTCTTTGCATCCTCTGTAATTTTGGTCTACGGGATACTGCTCTCTCCTGGTGCTCCTACCTCTCCCAGCACTATTTCAGTGTTTCTTTCTCTGACTCTGTCTCTTCCCCCCAACCACTCTCTGTCGGCGTCCCCCAAGGT